GGAAGGCAGAGGTTGCAGTGAGCTGAGATTGTGTCATTGCACCCCAGCCCAGGCAACAAGAGTGAGAACTCTGTCTCAAAAAAAAAAAAAAATTTTTTTTATGGTGCTTACTACCACTGCTTCGCTTTGGGCCAGGAGGTGTAGCAAGGGAAAAGGAGACTAACAGACTAACCCTTTTATACTCTCGTAATTTGTTTATCCTTTTTATTTATTTATTTTTGAGACAGGGTCCAGCTCAGACTGGAGGGCAGCGGCACAGTCATGGCTCACTGCAGCCTCAACCAACTAGGCTTAAGCCATCTGCGTAGCTGAGACTACAGGTGTGTACCACTATGCCTGGCTAATTTTTGTATATTTTGTAGAAACAGGGTTTTGCCATGTTGCCCAGGCTGTTCCTGAACTCCTGGGCTCAAGCAATTCTCTAGCCTTGGACTCCCAAGTCCTGGGATTATAGGTGTAAGCCACCATGCCCGGCCTTTTATTTTATTCTTTTAAGAGAGGAGGTCTTGCTCTGTCACCTAGGCTGGAGTTCAGTGGTGCAATTAGCTCACTGCAGCCTCAAACTCACGGGCTCAACGATGCTTCCACTTCAGCTTCCCAAGAGACTGGGATCATGAGCATGTGCCACAGCGTTTGGTTTGATTTGTTCATCCTAAAAAAAATCCAGGGGATTCTTGGCAGGCCTGTCCAGGATCCCTCCATGAGCCTGGCCAAACACAGACTCCCAGGCTTGGGACTTCCATGCAGTGAGATAGAGAACACTGTTGAACAAACAGGAGAGGAGAGACCTGGAGCTCCATGTTGCTAGGTGTTTGCATTAAATTTGAAGTGCTTGGGAGCCATCCCAGAAAGGATGTTAGGCAGGCAAAGTTAGATGGGGTAGGGGGTGGGATATAAGAGGCACCCTTGTTTTAGGTAGACAGTTGTATCCCAAGGCAAATACCCCATCAGTTCATCAGAATAATCTGTAGCAGTCTGCTGTGCCTGGATGGGAAGCTGTATTAGCATGAAAAAGTACTCAGGCCAGATGTGGTGGCTCACGCCTGTAATCCCAGCACTTTGAGAGGCCGAGGTAGGTGGATCACGAGGTCAAGAGCTCGAGACCATCCTGGTCAACATGGTGAAACCCCGTCTTTACTGAAAATACAAAAAATTAGCTGGGCATGGTGGCACGTGCCTGTAATCCCAGCTACTCAGGAGGCTGAGGCAAGAGAATTGCGGTGAGCCGAGATCGCACCATTGCACTCCAGCTTGGGTAACAAGAGCGAAACTCCGTCTCAAAAAAACAAAAGTACTCAGAACAAGAAGTCAGGAGGAAAAAACAGGAAACAATTATGTCAGCATAGTTGGTGCTGATGCTGGGCTGCCATGAGCACAGCCTGGAATGGAGTCAGACACATAACGGCTATTTGAGGTGTTGGTGTCATGGGGCATTAACCAAAAAATTTGTTATTGTGGATGGAATCAACCCAGTCAACATCTCCTTAGTTATCTGTGTTTGGCTAATATTCTGGAGAGTTTCACTACAAGCTGGACACAATGATTCCCCTCTACAGAGAATACTGAGGCCTGGCCCGGCGCGGTGGCTCATGCCTGATCCCAGCACTTTGGGAGGCCAAGGCAGGCGGATCACAAGGTCAGTAGTTTGAGAACAGCCTGGCCAACACGGTAACTCTGTCTCTACTAAAAAGCACAAAAATTAGCTGGGCGTGGTGGTGGGCGTCTGTAGTCCCAGCTACTCAGGACACTGAGCAGGAGAATCCCTTGAACCCAGCAGGCGGAGGTTGTAGTGAGCTGAGGTTGCGCCACTGCACTCCAGCCTGGGCGACAGAGGGAGACTTCACCTCAAAACAAAACAAAACAAAACAAAACAAAACAAAACAAAACAAAACACTTAGGCTCAGAAAGGTGAAGTATCTCACTCAAGATTGGAAGAGGAGGCCAAGATCTGAACCAAGTCAGTCAGACTCCAGAGCTGGTGCCCTTGAGTGTTAGAAGAAATTTCTTCTGCCTCCTTCTTCCCCACGCTCCCTAGTCTCTCAGCTTGCTGGGTACTGTCTCTCCTTCTTCCCCTAGGAAGGACAGCAACTTATCGCTGGTTTTCCTGTCCCCACTCTCATCTCATTCTCTAAGTCATTCATGATAAATAAATGTGTGTACATGTATATATATTGTGAGACAGGGTCTCACTCTGTTGCCTAGGCTGGAGTGCAGTGGCCCAATCTCCGCTCACTGCAACCTCCATCTCCTAGGCTCAAGCGATCCTCCCGTCAGCCTCCAGAGTAGCTGGGACTACAGGCATGCACCACCGTGCTTGGCTAATTTGTGTAATTATTATTATTTTTGTAGAGGCAATGTCTCACTATGTTACTAAGGCTGGTCTCAAACTCCTGGGCTCAAGTGATCCTCTTACCTCGACCTCCCAAAGGGCTGGGATTATAGGTCTGAGGCACTGCTCTGGGCCTCATTCATAATCTTTCCAAACCTCAGACCTGAAACAAGCTGCTTGCCTGTTTGGACTCCTTAGTGGTTCCCTTTGCCTGGAAGATAAAGCCCACATTTCTTAGCCTGGTATTAGAGGTCTCCAGCATCGGGGACTGACAGAACCTCTGGTTTCATCTCCTGTCTATCACATCCTCCCTTCTTTTCCCACACCATCTCCTTGTCAGACCCACCAAGCCAGATTGCTAACTGTCCTCTCCATACCATTTGCATCTCTTTACCTGGAATGCCTTCCCATCCCTTATCCCACTGGAAGAACATCTACTGGTGTCTCAAATTCACTTCTTCCGATCCCTCCTCCATCCTGAACTAGGCATTTTCTCTGAGAAACTGGGACAGACTTTGGGATCTCAATCACTTTAATTTAAACATGCCTGTCCACCATACTAATCAACTTCCTAAAATATGAGCCCCTGGGAGCACTAGCCAACGCACTGTATCTTAGTTTGCAAAACCCTTTTACTTCTCATAGGAAGCTGAAAAAGGTAGCACTGTCACTACTATTTCACAGGTAAGGAACTGAGGCTCAGAGAGGTAATTTATTGGCCTACTTCCACACAGTAAGTAAAGGGGAGCCTAGAAAAACAACCTAGGTTCTATCTGACTGATTCTGAAGGCAGAACCATGGTTCATGCAGGGGCTAAGGCAGCCTGGGCAGGCCTTCCCAGGATCACCTGTGTGTTTGGCCAAGTCCAAGAAGCAGAGAGCAGAAGCCAGCTGAGAGGGAGAGGAGACAGAGGTAGCTGGCACCTGAGGGAAGGTGGGCCAGGTGGTGACAGATCCACTGACGGATGTGGGGAAGGACAGTGGCAACAACTCCCTGCTGTGGTGGACAGACAGCACCTGAGTGCTCACTGAGTCCCAGATACTTCCTCTCCAATATGTTAGACCTGAGGCCCTGGACTGGGTTACTGTGAGCAATCAATAGCCAGGGAGGGCAGGGGATGGAGGGCCACCTTCTAAAAGATGGAGCCCTATTCCCTGTACCTGCCTGCACAGATTCTACTGCACAAATGGGTCTTTTGTTGTTGTTGGTTTTTTTTTTTTTTTGAGACAGAATCTCGCTCTGTCTCCCAAGCTGGAGTGCAGTGGCAGGATCTAGGCTCACTGCACTCTCTGCCTCCTGGGTTCAAGCAATTCTCCTGCCACAGCCTCCCAAGTAGCTAGGATTACGGACGGCCAATTTTTCTATTTTTTAGTAGACATGGGGTTTCACCATGTTGGCCAGGCTAGTCTTGAACTCCTGACCTCATGATCTATCTGCCTCAGCCTCCCAAAGTGCTGGGATTACAGTTGTGAGCCGCCACACCTGGCACAAATGGGTCTTTTGTATAGATTTCTCTCACTGCTCTGGGGGTGTTTTCTCTATCTTTTTTTTTTTTGAGATAGTGCTTCACTCTGTTGCCCAGGCTGGTGTTCAGTAGTACGATCTCAGCTCACTGCAACCTCTGCCTCAGAGGTTCAAACGATTCTCCTGCCTCAGCCTCCCTAGTACTGGGACTACAGGTACGTGCCACCATGCCAGGCTGTTTTTGTTTTGTTTTTGCTTTTTTGAAACGGAGTCTCACTCTGTCACTAGGCTGGAATGCAGCGGGGAGATCTCGGCTCACTGCAACCTCTGCCTCCCAGGTTCAAGCGATTTTCCTGTCTCAGCCTCCCGCGTAGCTAGGACTACAGGTGCACACCACCACACCTGGCTAATCTTTGTATTTTTAGTAGAGACAAGATTTCACCATGTTGGCCAGAATGGTCTCTCAACCTTGTGATCTGCCCACCTCAGACTCCCAAAGTGCTGGGATTACAGGTGTGAGCCACCGAGCCTGGCCTCTCTGGCTGTGTTTGCTTAACCAGGCAGTGAGTGTCTGGGTTGGGAATAAGGAGTTGGCTTTTGCTGTCATGCTTCCCCGCCCAGCCCCACCCAACACAGCTTCCATCTTCAAGGAGCTTATACTCTGGGAAAAGAGTGATATAGTCACCGATAAGTTGGCTACAGAATCACCTTCCACCACAGATACTCCAGAATGTCCACAGCTGACCTTGAGGTGAGCGGACTCATCCTGGTTTTACAGCTAAGGGGAAGAGGAGGCTCAGGGAAGATGAGACCCTGGTGGGTCACCTGGAACGAAACCCCAGTCTCATGATCACGCCCCACCAGGGCCAGAGCCGCCCTCCTCCAGCTCACTTTCCTTATTTGCTGAAGAAAGCAGGTAGGCACGCCAGTCTAGACAGTCTACCCAGAGCCTTGTGCTCCTGCCCTGACCTCACCACAGCCTCATTTCAATAAAAGAAGACAGAGCCCTCCCAGGCCACTGCAGCTGTGCCCTCTGTCCCCCATGCCAGGGGATAGAACTTGCCTGCCAGACTCAGGCTGAAAAATCTCTTTGTGTGAAAGGTCCCCAGGAGAGGAGGAGAGGGCTGATGTGTCAACAACATACATTTGCTGAGGTGCTGTTATGCCAGGCACAGAGCTGGCATATTTTACACTAGGAGTTTCTCACCAGGGATCCTCGTTGTATACAAGCTGTGCCTGGGCCTATGTGTTTATTTTTCCTGGGGGAAGGGAGCCACAACTTCCACTAGCCGTTGGAATCACTACTTTATGAAAGTTACCACTTGGGAGACTGAGGCAGAATTGCTTGAACCCAGGAAGCGGAGGCTGCAGTGACCGAGAGCACAACACTGAACTCCAGCCTGGGCAATAGAGGGAGATTCTGTATCAGAAAAAAACAATTAAAGAATATTAGTCATCCTCACCACATGCGCCCCCCTCATCACTTTACAGAAAAGAAAACCAATGCTCAGGGGGTCTGGGTGGATTGCCCAGGGGCACCTGATGAGAAAGCTGTAAAGGTGAACAACAGAACAGGATTCCTCCTCTGGGAATGTCTTTGAAACAGGAGCCTTGTGAACTCCTAATTCATCTGTCCAGGTTTCACTCTGATGCGCTTTTTGGGGGGAACCTTCCCTGCCTCCTCCACCCCCTCCCTGTTCCTTAGCCTTGCACACAAGACCCTTCGTGACCTAGCTCCTGCTGTATCATCTTGCTACTCTCCTCCTCCGGTCACCTCAAGACCTATGGTAAGTGACCACAATAACTATTCCTTCATGCCTTTGCACGTGTTGTCCCTCTGCCTGAATCACCCTAATCCCACTATCCTCAAGCTGCCTGAAAAACCTATTCCTTCAAAACCCCGTTCAAGAGTCACTTCACCTGGAAAGACCTGAGCCTCCTTGGCAGGGTGGGCTTTCCCGTGAGGATTATCATAACATCCCACATACTCAACTTCTGCTAGGGCACACAAGTCACACGTGGATGGAGGAGTTCAGTCAATATCTGATGAATGAATGACTCCCTAGTAGCGTCCGTCGCCCGGGCTCAAGGGCATAGTTCGCTGATCACACTGGACCTTAACTTTGGACCCACATGAGGTCTCTCCAAGGAACCCCAGAGCTCGGTAAGGAGGGCGACGGGAGCCCGCCCTTGTCACTACTGTCCCCCAGCCCCGCAAGAACAGCACGGAATAGATGGCCAACAAATAATTTGCTTGACAGACTGAGCTGCTGCAGAGTTCGAGACACACGGCTCCCAAGGGTCCACAGCGGTGCCCGCCGACGCTGGGGCTTCTCTCGCCGCAGCACCACCCAACCTCTTCCGGGCAGGGCGCCCTCCCCGCTTTGCAAACCGCCTTCTTCAAGCGCATGCCAGACAAAACCACCCTCCTCGCGGAAGAGACGCAGCCCCTGCCCGAGCGGCCGCGCGCACCCGGACCACCGCGCTCGCGCCGTTTGAATCTCCCGCCTGCGCGGGCGCCGCGGCGCGGGCGTGAGAGGCGCGGCGGCGGAGGGGCAGTGCGGCCCTGGCTCCGCGAGGCGGAGCCCAGCGGCCGTCCGAGCGTCCCGCGGGGCCAAGGAATCGTGAGCCCGCACCGCGCCTTCCAGCAGCCGGGCTTCACGTGGGGCCGGCGCCGCGCGACAGGGCCTAGAGCGGGCAGCGACCTAGTCCCGCGTGGACCAGCCCGTGCTTCGCCTGCGGCCGCCCCACGCGCCACCCTCCGCCCGGACCCTCCGCGGGTCCGTAGCGAGACCTACCTCGTTGCACGTCGGCCCCAAGGAACTCCAGCGCTCCCCGCCCGGCCCGAACTGCCCCAGAGCATGCGCTCTGCAGGCCTCTGGCCCCGACCCGGGCGAGAAAGGAAAACAAAGAGCCCGGCGGCCCCTGGCGGCCATCCCGCGATCTGCATGTGGCGCGCTCCCGGGCTCGGGGAGCTCTTGGGCAGGCTGGCTCCCCTGGCCCGGGTTCCAGTGGGTGTGTATTTTGGAAACCCCAAATCGGGACAAGCGGGGTAACAACCCAAAAAACTTCTTGAATTCGTGTCTGTTTAGGAAAATCTGGTGCGGTAGGGTCTGTAAGAAGAAAAAAGATACTCATCTTCCCTACCCTCAAGAGGGTGTCCATGGAGAAGGATGAGAAATCTATCAACAACCACACAGCGCTATGACACGGATACCCACAGGGGCATGTGACTCAGCCTGGGGCTTAAAAACGGCTTTCCAAGTTAAGTCTAGGAGGGCTTGTTCCCTCTATCCTGAGGTCGTGGGGAAATATGGGGATTTGGGCACGGGAATGGCATGACCAGATTTTTTTCCCCGTGGGTATGTGCCCATGTCTTAACAAGGTTTGAGGGAGGCACATCTCACATGTATATGAACACCCAGTCTTTTTTTTTTTTTGAGACGGAGTCTTCCTGTGTCGCCCAGGCTGGAGCAGTGGCAGCGATTTTGGCTCACTGCAACCTCCACCTCCCAGGTCCAAGCGATTCTCCTGTCTCAGCCTCCCGAGTAGCTGGGACTACAGGTGCGCTCCACCATGCCCAGCCAATTTTTGTATTTTTATTAGAGACGGGGTTTCGCCTTGTTGGCCAGGCTGAATTTCTTCTATTCAGAGCCTGCCACAAAGCACTCCCCATGTTGTCAGGGTATCTTACCTCTCCAAGTGTGTCTCTGCCTCCATCATGGACTCCTTTTTTGGATGATGTACAGTGAAATCTCTCCAACTTTTAACCCTGGGATCTTTAATCTCTCTCTGCTGTCTTCCTCCAAGATCTTACGCATTCATGTAGCTTCATGTAATAATAATAAGTGGATTATTATTACTATTCCCTATTTTGTAAGACCCTTTATTCTGGGTTTTCTTTTTTTTTTTTTTTTGAGACAGTCTTGCTCTGTCGCCCAGGCTGGAGTGCAATCACATGCTCTCGGCTCACCACAACCTCCACCTCCTGGGTTCAAGCAATTCTCATGGCTTAGCCTCCCAAGTAGCTGGGATTACAGATGAGTGCCACCATGCCTGACTAATTTTTGTATTTTTAAGTAGAGAAAGGGTGGGCCGGGCGCGGTGGCTCAAGCCTGTAATCCCAGCACTTTGGGAGGCCGAGGCGGGTGGATCACGAGGTCAAGAGATGGAGACCATTCTGGTCAACATGGTGAAACCCCGTCTCTACTAAAAATACAAAAAATTAGCTGGGCACGGTGGTGTGTGCCTGTAATCCCAGCTACTCAGGAGGCTGAGGCAGAATTGCCTGAACCCAGGAGGCGGAGGTTGCAGTGAGCCAAGATTGCGCCATTGCATTCCAGCCTGGGTAACAAGAGCGAAACTCCGTCTCAAAAAAAAAAAAAAAAAAAAAGTAGAGAAAGGATTTCACCATGTTCGTCAGGCTGGTCTTGGACCCCTGACCTCGTGATCCACCTGCCTCAGCCTCCCAAAGTGCTGGGATTACAGGCGCGAGCCACCGCACCCGACTAAGACCCTTTATTTTGTTAACTACAGAAACACATCCATGTCAGTTAGCTCATTGGTTGTTCACAAAAACCTCATGGTAGTTGGAAGATAAGAAAATTGACATTTAAAGAGGTAAAGCAAGTTTTCTGGGGTCATCACACAAGTGGTGGAAGGAGACCTGAACTGTTTTTTTTTTTTTTTTTTTGAGACGGAGTTTTGCTGTTGTTACCCAGACTGGAGTGCAATGGCACGATCTCGGCTCACTGCAACCTCTGCCTTCTGGGTTCAAGCAATTCTCCTGCCTCAGCCTCCCAAGAAGCTGGGACTACAGGCACGTACCACCATGCCCAGCTAATTTTTGTATTTTTAGTAGAGATGTGGTTTCACCATGTTGGCCAGGCTGGTCTCGAACTCCTGACCTTGTGATCCACCCGCCTCAGCTTCCCAAAGTGCTGGGATGACAGGCATGAGCCACCACACCCAGTCAGACCTAAACTCTTGTTCCGGGTTTGGTTGTCACCTTTGAATTGACAGGTTGCCCATCTGGACTGGTTCTGATTCTACCCCAAGTTGCAGCTCTGCATCTCTACCAGGAAGACTCAACAGCTTAAACCGAGTCCAAAATAAAGTTCAGGGCTGCCTCGGTGGCTCACACCTGTAATCTCAGCAATTTGGGTGGCCGAGGCAGGTGGATTACTTGAGTTCAGGAGTTTGAAACCAGTCTGGGCAACATGGTAAAACCCCATCTCTACTAAAACAAAAATTAGCTGGGCATGGTGGTGCATGCCTGTAATCCCAGCTACTCAGGAAGCTGACGCAGGAAAATCACTTGAACCCCGGAGGCAGAGGTTGCAGTGAGCTGAGATCTCACTACTGCACTCCAGCCTGGGCCACACAGGAGTTGGTTAATCAAGAGACACAATTTAAAAGATGTATACAACTAATAACAGAACTTCAAGATACATGAAGCAAAAACGGATAGAACTGCTAGAAGGAATACAAAAATACACAATTATAGCTGGAGATTTCAACACCCTTCTCTCAATAAACGATAGAGCAAAGTAGGAATAAAACTAGTAAGGAGAGCCACACGCCATGGCTCACGCCTATAATCCCAGCACTTTGGGAGGATTTGGCGGGCCGATCACCTGAGGTCAGGAGTTCAAGGCCAGCCTGGCTATCATGGTGAAACTCCATCTTACAAAAAATAAAAATTAGCCGGGCATGGTAGTCCCAGCTACTCCAGAGGCTGAGGCAGGAGAGTCGCTTGAACCTGGGAGGTAGATGGCTCCATTGTATTCCAGCCTGAAGACAGTCATTTTGTGACATGAAATCAAGGTAGAGGGACTAAGTAACTCACCCAAGTTCTCATGAACAGCAAGTGTTGGTATCAGGATTCAAATCCAGGCAGTCTAGAACTCCTAAGTTGGGCAACCAATACTGTCTGCCTACACAAAGAACAAGACCAGAAGTGCCTGTTTTGAAAGTTTAAAGGAAGGGGTGTTGCAAGCTGAAGTTTAGCAGAGTGGAACCTGAACACCAACTGACAGCTTTGCTTCAGCTATACCTTGGTGGATAGAAATGCATTTACTTCCTGCCCAGCACTGCCATTACCCAACCCCACCCTGAGAATATGAATTGAAAACATACTAAACCATTGGTTCAGAAAAAAACAAACGTTTTACTCAGGAGAGACCTATGTAGTTAGAGCAGGACACGGATGGGACTGGGCATATGCGTATGAATGGGATTGACTCATCTGGCTTCTTGAGCAGGGAATGCCTGTTACTGCAGAGGTGCCACTTCTAGTTGTGGACTTAGCTAATTAGCCTTTCTGCTCCCTTGGGAATACACCATAAAACCCAATTTGCCAGGTGCAGTGGCTCACCCCTATGATCCCAGCACTTTGGGAGGCTGGGCCAGGTGGATCATGAGGACAAGAGATCAAGACCATCCTGGCCAACAAGGTGAAAGCCTGTCTCTACTAAATACAAAAATTAGCAGGGAATGGTGTTGCTTGCCTGTAGTCCCAGCTATTTGGGAATCTGAGGCAGGAGAATCGCTGAACCCGAGGCAGAGGTTGCAGTGAGCAGAGACCTGCAGTGAACAGAGCCTGGGTGACAGAGCAAGACTGTCTCAAAAAAACAGCTCTAGCTAATTTTTGTATTTTCAGTAGAGATGGGGTTTCACTACCTTTCCCAGGATAGTCTCAATCTCTTGACCTCGTAATCTGCCCACCTCAGCCTCCCAGTGTTGGGATCACTTAGCTCAAGGTAAATCAAGCTGTGTATTCCCCAAGATCAGCTAGTAACTAGCTCCCATTGTCAAACCAATCCTGCCCCTTAACGCCCTGACAGTTCCAAGCTCTACCATCCACCACCAAACTCCAATCTCACGCACCTCCCTCTAACCTGTCCCCATCTTCCAAATGGCTTCATGGCTGTCCCACCTCCCCATATGCCAGTAGCTAGATTTTACCTTCTAGGTATGATTCCCCACTAGCCCCATCCAGGTTACTCAACATTTCTCATGTTGGCAGATGGTGCAGGGAGCTTGAGAAAGTTTCTACTATGACTCATATCATGAGGCCAGCAATTCCTTTCAGGCTGAGTCACACCACTTAGGTATAGGTAGTAAAGGCCTAACCAGCTTATCAGCTAGTGATACCTCCTAACAGATTCTCCTCCACTACATTGTGGGATACTAAAGGATTGGTCTAAAAACTAGTCTTGCACTCAACCCAGACTTATGGTCATATTGGTCAGGATATAACATCCATTTTCTCAATAAACTGCCAATATAAACTGAATCCAGGCTGGGGGCAATGGCTCACACCCGTAATCCCAGCAACTTTGGGAGGCTAAGGTGGGTGGATCACCTGAGGTCAGGAGTTTGAGACCAGCCTAACAAACCCCCAACTTTACTGAAAACACAAAAATTAGCTGAGCGTGGCGGTGAATGCCTGTGATCATAGCTACTGCATTGCACTAGAGCCTGGGCAACAAAAGTGAAATGCAGTCTCTAAAAAAACCCCACCACAGGGAAAATGATGAAATGTAAAACAAGTGACACCACTTAGCTATTATCAAGTCACAGTAAGAAAAAAAATGGTGACGACCCAATCAAACGACAAAAACCTGAACCCGGAGGTGGACCCAGCCAAGATGAGGTCTTAGGGCCTTTAGAAGGGAAGCTATCATGCCAGTTTCCTTAAGCAATAGCATTCATATAGATTTTTGGCTGATGTCACCAGCCATTTCCACGTAAGAATGAACCACAAACATGTACAGTCATCTTTTATTTCATAAATACATTAACATAGGTGATTTATTAGGTAAATTACAAATACATTAGAAATTACACAGTAGCACAATACTCAAGGACTTTAACACACCTGCCAAAAGTCGTAAGGTCAAACTACACTTCTTAAGGTGTGAATGCGGTGAAAATGCGCATTTCTAACCAATTGCCAAATTCCAAAGTCTTTAATACAAAACAAACTTCTGTTTAGGGGGCAGCTTTTACAAGAGGTATGAAATGGACCCCAGTGTTTTCCTCCCAGTCTGCCAAAGATTGTGAAACCCTGCTAAAAAAAAATTCAGTTTACCTACTCTTCCTTCTATATAAAGGACCCAAAAATTACATGTCAATGCCCAAGGTCAAGTGCAGCTCCTCTTCTTTCCTAAAGGAAAAGAAGTAATGATTAAACGCCTGAAATCCTACTTCAGCTTAAAATCTGGTACCCTAGGCATGTCTCCTGCATGGTTTGTCTCCCCAGTCATTGTCCACAGGACTCTGGGAAGCTGTAGGAATATGCAGGCGCAGACACGAGGCCCAGCTTCATCTCCAACGTTGTGGAAAGGGACTGTACATCACGGGGCAGAGCCCTATGCTCCCTACGCCACTTGGACAGAGCCCAGGGAAAGTGATCTTCCAGGGTATCCACGTTGGATTGCTCCTTAGTGAGGAGTTGGAGTAACAGAAATCCAATGCTGCTAACCATCCACAACATTTTCAAGAGCTGGAACCTTTTTCTAAGGTCAGGCTACAAATGTAGATAAAGCTCATTAGGGTTCCTACAGTCCATTAGGGTAGCTTTTATACCTTGTACCCTCTTACTGAACTGATTGAAAGCAATTTTTATATAACACACAGAACCTATGTTGAAGAAGTTATGTCAAGCGCCTACAAAAATGTAACAAAGTTTATATTCGGATATATCAAACAAAAGTATTGCTCTGAGAATGAGTAAATGCCTGAGGTTAAATCCTGACCAACTAGAATAAAGGTCTCTTCAATCCTACTTCCATTACAGAAATGACTAACAAAGCTGATAAGCCAAAACAATTCAAAGACAGACTTACCAAGAGTTACTTGGAGTACTTAACGAATCCTACAAAAGAAAGTATTAATCTATTAGTACAGTAAAGCACTAATTTTTTTCAAAGAGGGGCCTTCGCTGTTGCCCGGGGTTGGACGGCAGAGTGCAGTGGCACAATCATAGGTCAATGCAGCCTGCAACTCCTGGGCTCAGCTTCCCCAGTAGCTGCAACTCCAGCTACCTACCATCATGCCTGGCTACTTTTTAGTCAATTTCTCTGAAACATGCAAGACTTCAATCCAGACTCGGTGCTCCAGAAGGCTGTTTCCTGCATGGTTTGTCTCCCCAGTCATTGTCCACAGGACTCTGGGAAGCTGTAGGAATATGCAGGCGCAGACTCGAGGCCCAGCTTCATCTCCAACGTTGTGGAAAGGGACTGTACATCATGGGGCAGAGCCCTATGCTCCCCTACGCCACTTGGACAGAGCCCGGGGAGAGTGACCTCCCGGGTGTACCCACGTTGGATAGTCTGTGTAACGCATAAAACTTACAGAACCTAATAGGAAACGCTTTCATCCAGCTGTTACGGGCTTCCCGGAGAAACCCATGTTACTACAAGTCTTCAGAGCGCAAACGAATTTCCATCCTGCCCACAGGTGGCGTGTTAAAAAAAAATCGGTTTATAGACCGATAACACGATGTATTCAGCCATTCTGATTACTTTTTAAAAGGCAGTTAGTACTATGTGGATGGTGCAGAAGCAGCGACAATTAGGCTTAGCTATCCTATATTCAAATCAAACACGTGGACTCGTTAAAATACCCCCAAACCGGCCAGACATGGTGGCTCACGCCTTTAAATCTTAGCACTTTGGTAGGCCAAGACAGACGGATGGTCTAAGCTCAGGAGTTCGAGACCAGCTTGGGCAAGATACAAAAAAGAAATCAGCTGGGTGTGTTGGCAGGCGCCTATAATATCAGCTGCGCAGTACGCTGAATCTTGAGAATTGCTTGAACCCGGGAGGCGGAGGTTGCAGCGAGCCAAGGTCGCGCTACTGCACCGCAGCCTGGACAACGTGGAATTGTCTCAAAAGAAAAAAAAAAAGACCCCAAATTCAACAATGGAGAAACCCGGTCTCTACTAAATATACAAAGCTAGCCGGGCGTGATGGCGCATGTCTGTAATCGCGGCTACTCGGGAGGCTGAGGCAGGAGAATCGCTTAAACCCTGGAGCCGGAGGTTGCAGTGAGCGGAGATCATGTCACTGCACTCCAGAGTGGGTGACAAAGCCAGACTCTGTCTCAAAAAGAAAAAAAAAAGTAAAAGAAGAAAACAAAAAACGTGGTTTGCATAGGGAAGCCTGGTTACTGATCCAAGATCCTAGACCCATAGCTCAGCTAGCAAGCATCTGAAAATACTCACTGGGCCGATGTACCGACGGCGGCGACTGTCTCCAAGAGGCCGAGCTAACGCAAAGCATCCTTATTTAAACCTTACGAAGTGCCCGGAAGTCATGAAATGTCTATTGCGCGTGCGCAGGAACATGCGCAGTTATAGAATCAGAAACTCGCTGAGGCTTCTGGGAATCTACTGAAGATTGAGTCCCACCCCTGCCTGTCTCGGAGGTCTCTCGCGGTAGTGGATCCTTCGCGCGGGTCCTTGCTGGGGAATGTACGTTACAGAAATAGGTTTGTAGGTACGTAGCTGCGGAGGACGTTTACTTCTGTGCAATCACTGCGCCCAGTCTGTAGGGAATACCCTTAGATAAACTGGCCAAAATATTTTTGAGGTAGCCTAACGTGGTGGCTCACGCCTGATTCCAGCACTTCTGAAGGCCGAGGAGGGGGCGGATCGATTGAGGCCAGGAGTTTGAGACCAGCCCGGGCAGCAGGGCGAAATCCCGTTTCTACAAAAAATACAAACATTCGCCGAGGGTGGTGCCGCGCGCCTCCAATGCCAGCTACACAGGAGGCTGAGGCATGAGAATCGCTTGAACCCAGGAGACAGTGGTTGCAGTGGGCGGAGATCGCGCAAGTGCGTTCCAGCCTGGTCAACAAAGAGACTCTGTCTCTAAGTAAATAAATAAATAACCCTGTCTCCAAATAAATAAATATAACGTTGGAATAATAAGAATGCAAAATTTAAAAATACATCCAGAGAAATAAGGAGTCTCAAAAGGAATTGAATCTGCCCTGTCACCTGTGACAGAAATAATTTGATAAATGTGAAGGTAAATAAGATGAAAGTGACCTTAGGCAAATCAGATAAAAAACTCCTGGCCAGGCGCGGTGGCTCACGCCTGTAAACCCCAGTACTGTGGGGGCCGAGGTGGCGGTGGGGGTGGGGGGGGAAATCACAAGGTCAGAAGTTCAAGACCAGCCTGGCCAACATGGTGAAACCCCTTCTCTACCAGAAGTACAAAAATTAGCTGGGCGTGGTGGCGCGCGCCTGTAGCCTAGCTACTCAGGAGGCTGAGGCAGGAGAATCATTTGAACCCAGGAGATTGCAGTGAGCCGAGATCGTACCACTGCACTCCAGCCTGGATGACAGAGTGAGACTCCGTCTCAAAACAAACAAACAAAAACCTCTTTTGCACAACTGTGTGAATGTACTTAAAAGCACTGCCATATATATATATATATATTTTTTTTTTTTATTCTGTCCAGCCAGGCTGGAGTGGGTACAATGGCCGGATCTCGGCTCACTGCAACCTCCGCCTCCTGGGTTCAAGCAGTTCTTCTGCCTCAGCCTCCAGAATAGCTGAGACTACAGGTGCACGCCACCATGCCCAGCTAATTTTTGTATTTTTAGTAGAGATGGGGTTTCACCATGTTGACCAGGCTGGTCTGGAACTCCTGACTTGAAGTGATCTGTCTGCCTTGGTCTCCCAAAGTTCTGGGATTACAGGTGCGAGCCACCGTGCCTGACCTCCCCTATACATTTTAAGCTAGTTAAAATGCTAAGTTTTGGGTATATTTTAGCACAAACAAAACCAAATATGAAGAAGTAGACAAAGAATGCTTAAGATATACACACACACACATGTGAAATGTTGCAAATATGATAGAATTTTGAGTATGTTGTAAGGTGAGAAAAATGTTGGCTAAAGAGACAGAGCTATCACAGCTGGGCTATCTCCAGTAGTAACATTTATTATGTTCCTTCTATATATTAAATTTTGTTCTGAATGGTTTATTACATACATTATTTGCTATCACAGCACTTCTAAGACATCGGTATGATTACCCAGGTTTTAAGATGCGAAACGGGCCCAGAGCAATGGTTCTTTTTTTTTTTTTGAGACAGAGTCTTACTCTGTCGCCCAGGCTGGAGTGCCGTGGCACGATCTTGGCTCACTGCAACCTCTGCCTCCCAGGTTCAGGTGATTCTCTTGCCTCAGCCTCCTGAGTAGCTGGAAATACAGGCGTGAGCCACCATGTCCAGCTAATTTTATATTCTTAGTAGAGACAGGGTTTCACTATGTTGGCCAGGCTGGTCTTGAACTACTGACCTTGTGATCCTCCTGTCTCAGTCTCTCAAAGTGCTGGGATTACAGGCGTGAGCCACTGTGCCTGGCAAGCAGTGGTTCTTAAAGTGTGATCAATCAGCAGACCACAGGGTTCCTGAGACCTTTTGGGGGTTTTCTTAATAATACTTTGTTTGCCTTTTTTGCTCTGTTGACAAAAAATGATGTAAAAAATCATTGTAAAAATGATGTAAAAAATCAGTGGTGCCAGGTATGGTGGCATGGGCCTGCAATCCTAGCTATTCAGGAGACTGAGGTGGGAGGATTGCTTGAGCTCCAAAATTCAACAGTTTGGACAACATAGTAAGGCCTAGTTTTAAAAATAAACGAATTAATTAATTTTAAAAAAGCAACAGTGGGTAAAATTGCTTGTGCCCAGCACAAATCAAGGGGCTGTCACCAACGTGTACTGGAAATCATCATCACAAAATCTCAAAATCAGTATAAAAAAATCACAAAATCAGTTAAAAAGTTAAGAATATGGCCGGGCACAGTGGCTCATGCCTGTAAGCCCAGCACTTTGGGAGGCCAGGGTGGGTGGGTCACGAGGTCAAGAGATCGAGACCATCCTGGTCAACATGGTGAAACCCCATCTCTACTAAAAATACAAAAAATTAGCTGGGCATGGTGGCGCATGCCTATAATCCCAGCTACTCAGGAGGCTGAGGCAGGAGAATTGCCTGAACCCAGGAGGCAGAGGATGCGGTGAGCCGAGATCGCGCCATTGCACTCCAGCCTGGGTAACAAGAGCGAAACTCCGTCTCAAAAAAAAAAAAAGATGAGCTGAGTGAATATGGCCTTAGATAGGGAAAGCGAGATTCACAGACCAGAGGTCATGAAGCAAGTCCAAGAAGCCTGTTCAGTTTCCATCTCTATCACTACTTTTTCCTCTGTCAGTCATTTAGTTCAGCTGCCTGGCATGGGAACTTGGGTTGTTTAACTTTGGAATAGATTCTGTGAAGGAGGTATAGGAAAAGCAGGAGAGAGGGTAATAGATCGAAGAGAAAGTGTGGTCACGGGAAGATTGTCTTTGTTGCGGGGGAGGGTATGAAGGAGGTAAGCATTAAATTATATATTTAATGCTCTCCCACATAATCTTCACTGAGGATTATGTGTCCTCAGTGCCAAATGAAGGGACATTAAAGCTATTTGTTCCTGTCAGATGACCTCTATGTTCTACATAGGAGGCGACATTCGTTGGGGAAGAAATTAACAATACCCACACAAAACGACAGATGGAGCAAGAGGTGTGGGTTGCTGGTAATTCCTGGTTTTCCCTTCATGCCTCTTAAGGCTAAAATGGAATAGAAGGTTGAAACAGTGGTGCTGTGTTTTGGCTTCAGGGCTCGGATTTTCTTTGGTGTACATTGTCATCTTTTTGTACTATTTCATCCTCTGCCTATTCAGTGTCCATTGGACCTGCCCCTCCTCTTTTTTCAAGAGACAGGGTCTATATTGCCCAGGTTGGTATTGAATTCCTGGGCTCAAGTGATCCTTTTGATTTTTTTTATTTTTATTTTATTTATTTTTTTAAGACGGGCTTTCACCATGTTGGTCAGGCTGGTCTTGAACTCCCAACCTCAGGTGATCCGCCTGCCTTGTCCTCCAAAGTGCTTGGTTTACAGGCATGAGCCACCACGCCCGGCCTCAAGTGATCCTTTCACATCAACCTCTGAAGTAGCTGGGACTATAGGTGCGCACCACTGCACCCAGCTGGACCTGCCTTTTCCTGGGGTATAATTCTATAAATCCACAGAGACCCAAAATTCATTCATTGTTTTGGCTAACACTGGGAAATCTGCATCTTCAAAACAGCTTTCTGGAGGCAATTTAACCCCAAAAGGGCAATAGTGATTTGAGACTTTTTTGGAGGGCTAGTAAGTCAATCTAGGAGCAGGTAGAATCCAGTGGCACAAGGAATTCTGACTCATGGTTTCTTTTAACTCTTGGTAAAGGGTGGTGCACTAAATAAACAAGGCCAGTCTCTAAAGTGACAAATAGAAGTGAGTCATTGCTGAGGCCACCTGGACTGAAACTGGGCTGCTTACCAGAAAAGATAATATAAAGCACTAAGTGTCCTGGGCCAGGCACGGTGGCTCACACCTGTAATCCCAGCACTTTGGGAGGCTGATCACGAGGTCAGGAGTTCAAGATCAGCCTGGCCAACATGGTGAAATCCCATCTCTACAAAGAATACAAAAATTAGCTGGGCGTGGTGGCTCATGCCTGTAGTCCCAGCTACTTGGGAGGCTGACACAGGAGATCGCTTGAACCTAGGAGGCGGAGGTTGCAGTGAGCCAAGATCAGGCCACTGCATTCCAGCCTGGGTGACAGAGCAAGACTCCCTCTCAGGGGGCAGGAGGGGAAGTACCAAGTGTCCTTCTGTGATGTCACCTTGAGGGGTTCAACCATATGTGGTTAATATAAATTCTTGTAGGGGCAACTGATTGGCATGCAAATGCTTATCCTTAAATATATTCAAAGATTACATCATTTTTTTTGAACTTGCGGAAGCAATTTCATCTCAGTTTCTTAATTGGTGAAATGACTATATTATCACTTATCTAACAGGCTGGGGTGGGCTAAATAGGATCAAGTGTTTAGTATATACGGGGTTCACAGTCAGCTCCAATCTGCAGCCTATTCTGTTTGTGCACTGACAGAAACAAACATGAATGACCCTCACTCCTGGCTACATTTTATGTCCTATTACTTTTCTCTCTCTCATCTATTTCTCATTTTGGGACACATTAGCAATAATTTACCTATCTTTTTTTAAGCTGGATTTAATGTTTTTGGATAGAGTGTAATGTAAAAGAAAATACCTCACACCAGAATAGTATAGTTTGGTATTTAAAAATTCTAAAATATTTAATAATTAATATTGATGGGAAGACTGATATACAATGCAATTATTTATAAGATTCTGTACATCAGGGAGGCATCTTGAAGTACAATACACCAGGCTTTCATTTCTTCTTTACATTATGACTGTGAGTTTCCATGTAAGTTGGTACATGGAAAGGGAACACAAAATCCATTTTTATATACATAAAAACAAAACAAACACCCAAATAGACTTGACCCCCAAAATGTCTTGTTTCATTTGAAAAGAACATGAATGAGATGAAAGATGAACCAGATTACTTGGTGACACACAGAAGGTGACGAACAAGTAGCTCAGGATATCAAATCCTGTTTCAAGCTTGGCACATCAAGGGTAAGAAAGGTCTTGAAAGAAGGGTTTGAAAATGTTATCTCAAGCCACAAAAAATGCTGGCAGAAGACAGTCTCCAAACCAATAAGATACAATGGTTAGAAGTCAAGTTAGCAGTTATTGTGTGGCTGCCTGTATATCCACACCTCTAACAGACTGAGTGGAACTGTCACTTATTTTCCATCCCAAGTGTTAGTAAACTTCAAGGAGGCTGGGCACAATGGCTGACACTTGCAATCTCAGAACTTTGGGAGGCAAAGACAGACAGATCCCTTGAGCCCACGAGTTCAAGACCAGCCTGGGCAATATGGGAACACCTTGTCTCTAAAAAAAAAAAAAAAAAAAAAAAAAACACAAAAATTAGCTGGGTGTGGTGGCACATGCTGTAGTCTTAGCTGAAGTGGGAGTATTGCTTGAGTCCAGGAGGCAGAGGTTACTATGAGCCAGGATTGTGCCACTGCACTCCAGAATGGGTGACAGAGAACCTATCTCCAAAAACAAAATGAAACATATCAAAAAACTTCAAGGAGATGGGGACCCAGTATTATTTCTTTTCTTTTCTTTTTTTTTTTTTGAGATGGAATCTTGCTCTGTCACCCAGGCTGGAGTGCAGTGGGGCAATCTCAGCTCACTGCAACCTATATCTCCTGGGTTCAAGTGATTCTCCTGCCCCAGCCTCTTGAGTAGCTGGGATTACAGGTGCGCGTGACCATGCCCAGCTAATTTTTGTATTTTTAGTAGAGATGGGGTTTCACCATGTTGGTCAGGCTGGTCTTGAACTCCTGACCTCAGGTGATCTGCCTGCCTTGGCCTCCCAAAGTGCTGGGATTACAGGCATGAGCCACTGTGCCCGGCCTAGGTTTTGTTTTGAACTGATACTCTGATTCTTCAGCAAGTCTTCTTATGTGGGTATGAAAGGACGAAAATCTGAGGAAAGATGATATACAGAACAGATAACAGGGGCCCACAGAATAAATAAGAAGAAATCTATGAAATGGTCACAACTTCTTGAACATTAAAGTGAAGGAAAAAAAGTCGTATTCATCAGATTAAACAGAAACTATTAGTATTTTTAGTGTGGATAGGAATTAAAGTGAAATAGTGAGACTGTATGTTTTCAAAACAAATTCAAAGAAAGTAACAAAATCTTGTTTTAGGAAATCATATTAATATCTATTACAAATACAGAAAGCAGGGGGCCTGAGTCAATGCCCCAGCACCAATGATACCTCTACAGTGTGGAAGAGGAGGGGCGGGTGAGATGGAAGCTGCTAGAGAGTCAGCAGGAGGATCAGCTCTGGAGTGAAGAGGAAGCGCACAGCAGGAGAGGGCAAAGAGCACTAGAAGAAGAGGGGCGCGGTGGGCCATGATCATGCCCTCCTGGCTTCTCCAGACACCCCTTCTTATGCAGCACCCCATACCCAGCCGGACCTTACTGTGATTCTGGCTGGAAGCATGGGGACCATCAGCTCATAAATGCTCTCACAGAGTTGATACAACTCTGCTTTGAGGAGAATACATTTATTGTTCAAAGCAATTTAGAGAATAACATTTGGTAAATGAAACTACAATCCTAAAAATGTAAGCCAGAGTTTTCTGCCACACTGGCATTAAGGCTTTTTTTTTGAGACAGAGTCTTGCTCTGTCACCCAGGCTGGAGTGCAGTGGCACGATCGGCTCACTGCAACCTCCACTTCGCAGGTTCAAGCAATTCTTCTGCCTCAGCAGCCCCAGTAGCTGGGACTACAGGCACAAGCCACCATGCCTGGCAAATTTTTGTATTTTTTAGTAGAGACAGGGTTTCACCATGTTGGCCAGGCTGTTCTTGAACTCCAGACCTCAGGTGATCCACCCGCCTCAGCTTCCCAAAGTGTTGAGATTATAGGTGTGAGCACCACTGCACCTGATTTTTTTTTTTTTTTTTTTTGCAAGGAAGGAATAAAGGGATTTATTGAAAATGAAAGTACACTCCAGAGTGTGAGAGTGGGCCTGAGCACAGGAGCTCAAACACCTTTCTTGTTTTTGTATATAGAAAATATATATGCTTTCTCATCTAACCAATTTTTTTTTTTTTTAAGTCAGAGTCTCACTTTGTTGTCCAGGCTGGAGTGCAGTAGCATGATCTTGGCTCACTGTACCTTCCACCTCCTGGGTTCAAGTGATTTTCATGCCTCAGCCAGGTGCTACCATGCCTGGCTAATTTTTTTATTTTTAGTAGAGATGGGGTTTCACCATGTCAGCCAGGCTAGTCTCGAACTCCTGACCTCAGGTGATCCGCACAACCTGGCCTCCCAAAGTGCTGGGATTACAGGCATGAGCCACTGTGCCCAGCCTCATCTAACCAATTTGGATTCTTGTTGCAGCTCAGGAAAACATAAGTTCCCATTACTTCCAGATTATTTTAAAATAAAAATCACAATGACTTGTGAGGAAAAGGAAGAACATGTCAGATCCTGAGCTTCCTCTCAGGCTTGAGTGCCTCAAGAGGACTGTATTGCTGGGTTACGAGAGGTACAGTGCAGTGCTTTCATCTGATATGCCAGTATGGTAAAAAGGCTTCCCCTGGAGGTAGGGACTCTTTTACCAGAAGGCTGGGGGCCTCCAGAAGGTTTTCCCCACCAGGAATGGATTTGATAGCTGGAATTTAGAGCCCACACATTTGGGTCTCACCATCAGGGTAGGGCAGGTAAGGCTAATGGTGCAAACTGTGCCTCAGCATAGGAAGTCATCTAGGGGAAGGGGTGTGGTACAGCCAGTAAAACCTGGAACCTGCAAGTGGTCCAGAACTTTGGTGGCCAGTAAGGAAAAAAACCCCTCAAGTATGCTACAATATTGAAAGGTTCAAAAGCACTCAGAAAGTGTTGTTTTGCCCCAGGTGCAGCCCATGAGAATGTTCCAGTGAAATGCTACATTCAAAGAAGTGCTGTCCACCCCAGAAGATCCCAGAGGATGCAATTCTGGCTGTGCTGGGAAGTGCTAAAGTTCCCTCCATATGTCACTCCGGAGAAGGAGCAGCAAAGCAGCCATGTTGAGTTCCTCTCTCAACCTTGGGCATCATGGACGATGGTAGCTAAAAGAGAAAAAAAAAGAGACAAGTTACCACATGATGTACATTGCTTGCTATTAATATATCAGTAGTAATGAAATGTTATATCCTAATTAATACTGCCTCTCTTTTGCTCGAATTCCACCTGACCTTTCTGTTGCATCTGATACTCCTCAACTGCTTCCTTCTTTCTTGAAACTCTTGGCTTCTGTAACAATATTTTTTCCATAGTTTTCTTTCTTCTTCAATTGATCTTCCTCTGTATGCTGTTCTGGTTCATTTTCCTCTGTCCACCCTTTAAATAAAAAACAACTTCCTGGCCAGGTGCCATGGCTCACGCCTGTAATCCCAGCACTTTGGGAGGCCCAGGTGGGCAGATCACGAAGTCAAGAGACCGAGAACATCCTGGCCAACATGGTGAAACCCCATCTCTACTAAAAATACAAAAATTAGCTGGGCATGGTGGCTCACGCCTGTAGTCCCAGTTACTTGGGAGGCTGAGGCAGGAGAATCCCTTGAACCCAGGAGGCAGAGGTTACAGTGAGCCGAGATCACAGCACTGCACTCCAGCCTGGCAACAGAGTGAGACTCTGTCTCAAAAAAAAAAAAAAGAAAAGAAAAATAAAAACAAAAAAATCCCAACTTCCTTGGCTGGGCATGGTGGCTCATGTCTGTAATCCCTGCACTTTGGGAGGCCAAGGTGAGAGGATCATTTGAGCCCAGAAGTTTGAGAGCAGTCTGGGCAACATAGGGAGACTCTGTCTCTACAAATGATAAAAAATTAGCCAGGTGTGGTGGCCTGTGCCTGTAGTTCTAGTTACTGAGGAGGCTGAGGTGGTAGAATGTTTTGAACCTGAGAGGTTGAGGCTGCAGTGAGCAGTGAGCCCTGATCACGCCACTGCATTCCAACCTGGGTGACAGAGTAAGATCTTGTCTCCAAAAAAAAAAAAAAAAAAAAAAATTCCCCCCTAAAGGTTCACTATCTTTTCTCATTTGTATCTTTAGACTTTGCTTTCTTTCTGGATTCCAAGCTGCATATCTAAAGGTCTTCTAGGCATCTCCATGTATCATAGATTCATCAAACTCACACATGCAATTTATTTTCTAGTTTGTTGTTTGCTTTCTTCTTTTTTTTTTTTTGAGACGGAGTTTTGCTCTTGTTACCCAGGCTGGAGTACAATGGCGTGATCTCGGCTCACCGCAACCTCTGCCTCCTGGGTTCAGGCAATTCTCCTGCCTCAGCCTCCTGAGTAGCTGGGATTACAGGCATGCGCCACCATGCCCAGCTAATTTTTTGTATTTTTAGTAGAGACGGGGTTTCACCATGTTGACCAGGATGGTCTCGATCTCTTGACCTTGTAATCCACCCGCCTCGGCCTTCCAAAGTGTGGGGATTACAGGCATGAGCCACCGCGCCTGGCCCCGCTTTCTTTTAGAATAAAAGCTTGGGCAGGCATAGTGCCTCACACTTGTAATCCCAACACTTTGGGAGGCCAAGATGGAAGGATCACTTGAGGCCAAGAATTCAGCCTGGGAAACATAGCGAGACCCTATCTCTATTAAAAAACCCAGTGGCTCACGCCTATAATCCCAGCACTTTGGGAGGCCGAGGTGGGTGGATCTCGAGGTTGAGATCGAGACCATCCTGGTCAACAAGGTGAAACCCTGTCTCTACTAAAAATACAAAAATTAGCTGGGCACAGTGGTGTGCGCCTGTAGTCCCAGCTACTCAGGAGGCTGAGGCAGGAAAATTGCTTGAACCCAGAAGGCGGAGGTTGTGGTGAGCCGAGATTGCGCCATTGCACTCCAGCCTGGGTAACAAGAGCAAAACTCCATCTCAAAAAAAAAAAAAAGAATAAAGCCTCATTGAGGGCAGAGACTTGATATCTTATTTCCTGCTGTATCCCAAGGACCTAGCACTGTACCTATCATGTGGTAGGTGCTCAGTATTTGTTGAGTAAGTGTTCAACTAAACTCCTTATCACCTTCACAGACCTCAAAAAATACAAGTTAGAAATACCAGAGTCATTTTGACTACTCCTTTATTTCATCTCTGAAATCCAACAGATTGCTACATCTTGTTGATTCTGTGGTTGAAATGTCTTTCAAATCTATCTCCTTGGCATTCTCACTGTGGCTTCCCTGGTCTGAGCTACCACTATGCTCACGATGTTTATTTTAGTCACTTCCTGTTTTCCTTGCTGCTATAGTCTCTTCATCCTTCCATATGATCTTCCTTCTTTGCATCAGAGGGTGTTCTGAAATACACAGCATTTCCTGTTTCTAAACTGACAATGGTTCCAACATCCTAGCATAACAGTCAAAGCATTTCAAGGAGGCACTGCAACCCATTTTCTAGCTTATTTTTACCGCACTGCCCCATATATCCTCTGCTCCAGTTACACCATGTGTTTTCCTCTTTTCCATTGTCTTGCTTAAGCTGGTCCTTCTTTTTTTTTTTGAGACACAATCTCACTCTGTCACCTAGGTTGGAGTGCAGTTACACAATCTCAGCTCACCGCAACCTCTGCTTCCTGGGTTCAAGCGATTCTCCTGCCTCAGACTCTCAAGTAGCTGGGGCTACAGGCATGCCACCATGCCCAGCAAATTTTTATATTTTTAGTAAAGACAGGGTTTCACCATGTTGTCCAAGCTGGTCTCCAACTGGCCTTAAGTGATTCACCCACTTCAGCCTCCCAAAGTGTGGGGATTACAGATGTGAGCCACTGTGCCTGGTCTATACTGGTCCTTCTGCTTACAAGGTTCTTTCCTTCCTTTTTGTTCAGATTAATTTTTTTATATACCTTAAGATCTAGCATAAATGTCACATTCTCTATGACTCTTTCGTTTAGCAAAAACTGTTCTTTTTAGCAATGGCATCTTACTTTGTTGCCCAGGCTTTAGTGTAGTGATGTGACCATAGCTCACTGCTCCCCCAATCCCCCAGGCTCAAGGGAATTTCCCCCCTCAGCCTTCTGGGAAGCTGGACTACAGGAGTGTGCCACTGCACCTGGCTAACTTTTTTAAAATTTATTTTTTGTAGAGATGGGGCTTGGCTAACGCCCTTTTCGGCCTTAGCCCACCTGTACCCAGGTGAATTAAAAAAAAAAAAAAGAAAGAAAAAGACATTGGGGCTTACTATGTTTCCCAGGCTGGTCTCAAACTCCTGGAATCAAGTAATCCTCCCACCTCTGCCTCCCAAAGTGCTAAGATTACAGGTATGCACCACTGCACCAGGCCCCTGCCTAATTAAAAAAAAAAAAATCTATCTATCTATAGATATATTATTTATTTTTAAAATATCTCTCTCTCTCTCTCTCTCTATATATATATATATATTTTTTTTTTTTTTTTTTTTTTTTGCAGAGATGGAGTCTTTTATGTTGCCCAGACCGAACTCAAACTCCTGTGCTCAGGTGATCTTCCCACATCGGCCACTCGAAGTATCGGGATTACAGGCATGAACCACTGCACTCAGCCTTATTTGGCGTCTTTTAAAATAAATATTCTGAGAATCATGTAAAGATACTTCACTGATTCCATATGTGGCTAGCTGATTCTTTGGATATGGGTGGGTCCTTAATCACAACAGTAATTCTAAATCAAAATACTTTGTTGGATTTCTTGGCTTGTTTCATGAGGACAGCTAATTAAAATGTTGTTTATACACTAAGTTGGTAAGCTCAACTGTGCTAGACAGAACTGAAACCAGAGAGGGCAAGATCTTGTCTAACTTAGTGCAATCTCCTCATTTATAACCTAAGAGAGCAAGGCACAAGGAAGAGAGCACCCCATATCCTTGAAGTCATTGAATTCTTTCTCTAAATCCTAGTTCTGCAATTTACTAGCAAGTCAAGCAAGTTACTTAACCATTCTGAGTCTCCACTTTCTCACTGATAAAATGGGGATGTTACCATATCTTGCATGTTTATTGCAAGAATTAAATAAGATAATATACATCAAACACCACAATCAGCATAGGCATTTACTGTTTTTTTTTTGTTGTTGTTGTTTTTTTTGGAGACAGTGTTGCTCTGTTGCCAGGTGCCAGGCTGGAGTGCAGTGGCACGATCTCAATTCACTGCAACCTCTGCCTCCTGGGTTCAAGCAATTCTCCTGCCTCAGCCTCCCAAATAGCTGGGACTACAGGCATGCACCACCACGCCCAGCTAATTTTTGTATTTTTAGTAGAGACGGGGTTTCACCATGTTGGCCAGGATGGTCTTGATCTCCTGACCTCGTGATCCGCCTGCCTCGGCTTCTCAAAGTTCTGGGATTACAGACGTGAGCCACTGAACCTAGCCGGCATTTACTATTTTAATTTTTTCGAGATGGAATTTTGCTCTTGTCGCCCATTGGAGTGCAATGGTAAAATCTTGGCTCACTGTAACCTCCCCATCCCTGGTTTAAGTGATTCTCCTGCCTCAGCCTCCCGAGTAGCTGGGATTACAGGCGCCTGCGACCATGCCAAGCTAATTTTTGTATTTTTGTTTTGTTTTGTTTTTGAGATGAAGTCTCACTCTGTCATCCAGACTGGAGTGCAGTGGTACAATGTCGGCTCACTGCAACCTCTGCCCCCTGGGTTCAAGTGATTCTCCTGCCTCCTCCTCCCAAGTGGCTGGGATTAAAGGTGTGTGCCACCACACCTGGCTAATTTTTGTATTTTTGGTAGAGCGGGGTTTCACCATGTTGGTCAGGCTGGTCTTGAACTCCTAAACTTGTGATTCACCCACCTCGGCCTCCCAAAGTGCTGGGATTATTAGGCATGAGCCATCGCACCTGGCCTAGGCATTTACTATTGCTTCTTATTTCATCCCTTTAAATGTAATCTTGCAATCAACATTGTTTTCCTTTTTACTGACGTCCTTAGAGTCCTTCACATCTGAACAATGTTTTTTTGGAAAACTCTACCTAGCGCATAGATGATCGGGTCTTTTGGGTCTTACCGTGTAAAATGTTTGCTTTCTTCATGAACCTCCATCTCGGAGCTTTTAAATTCATTTAATTCTTTTCTTATGGCAGCCTGTGGAGTAGAAACAAAAATGTTTCAGTTTCTTCTGCCTGCTTTGTACAGCAGTGTAACTTGCCATTTTTCTCTACTGTGTTTAACTGTGATACCATTTGTCTCATAATAAACCTAAAATTTTGAGTTTAGTCAAAATACTTGAAAATCTGAAAGAGATATTATAGTTTCATAGTTTTTTTTTTTTGTTTTTGTTTTTTAAAGACAGAGTCTTGCTGTGTCATCCAGGCTGAAGTGCAGTGGTACTTCAACGAGCAATCTCAGTTCATTGCAACCTCCACCTCCTGGGTTCAAACAATTCTCTTACCTCAGCCTCCTGAGTAACTGGGATTACAGGTGCATGTCACCATGCTCGGTTAATTTTTGTATTTTCAGTAGAGATGGGGTTTCACCATGTTGGCCAAGCTGATCTGGAACTCTTGACCCCAAGAGACCCACCCACTTTGGCCTCTCAAAGTGCAGGGATTACAAGCGTGAGCCACTGTACCTGGCCAGTTTTGTTTTGTTTTTTTTTTTTTGAGATGGAGACTCACTGTGTTGCACAGGTTGGAGTGTAGTCATGTGATCTCCACTCACTGCAACCTCTGCCTCCAGGGTTCAAGCAATTCTCTGCCTCAGCCTCCTGAGTAGCTAGAATTACAGGGACCTGCCACCATGCCCAGCTAATTTTTTTGTATTTTTAATATTTTTTTGTATTTTTGTATTTTTAGTATTTCACCATCTTGGCCAGGCTAGTCTTGAACTCCTGATCTCATGATCCACCCACCTTGGCCTCCCAAAGTGCTGAGATTACAGGCATGAGCCACTGTGTCCACCCCTAATTTTTTATTTTTTTTTGAGATGGAGTCTGGCTTTCTGCCCAGGCTGGAGTGCAATGGTATGATCTTGGCTCACTGCAACCTCCACCTCCTGGGTTCAAGCAATTTTCCTGCTTTAGCCTCCTGTGTAGCTGGGATTACAGGTGCATGCCATCACACCCAGCTAATTTTTGTATTTTTAGTATAGACAGGGTTTCACCATGTTGGCCAGGCTGGTCTTGAACTCCTTACCTCAAGTGATCCCTCTGGCTTGGCCTCCCAAAGTGCTGGGATTACAGGCATAAGCAACCACGTCTGGCCAGCTTTTATAGTTTTTCACAGCATTATAAAAATGAAATATGGGTAATTACTAAAATATGTAGCCCAAACTCCCTCTAACCAAACAACCACTGGTTAAAATGTACTTATTTCTTCCAGTATTTTTGTTCTGTGATACAGCAGGGATTTTCTTTCTTTCAGTATTGGTGGTGGAGTTACCAAAACATTATACTGAGTTAGTATAACATTCTGACTTGTACAACTTTTGTATCTTGATTTGAAATTTAGTATTATATTAAAACTAGAAGCTTTGTTTATGGTTCTCTCTTCTACTTAGTATCTTGCATCCTTCAAATAAAGAGAAAATGACAAAAAGAGCAAGAGCGTGCTTTTCAGGTACCTTGTCAGCAGGGGTCAGTTTGGTCCAAGGTTTGTCGGCTCGCCGGTCATAGTCTTGAGCATCTGTTACCTCTACATATTCATTAAACCTCAGAATCTTCCTGGCAAGGAGTTCAGCTACAGTTGGCCTTTGACTGAGCTGAAGGAAATGGAGCCTCTTAGTTCACTAAGTCAAGAATTAGGCATCAATCATGCATTCAAATTGCCTCTAACCTAGTGCTTCAACCTTTACTGGAATCACCTGGGGGAACTTTAAACATTACTGATAGCTGGAGATTCCACCCCTAGAGATTTTGGTTATCAGGTGGTTTTTTTTTTTTTTTTTTTTTGAGACAGGTTCTTGCCCTGTCGCCCAGGCTGGAGTGCAGTGGCACAATCACAGCTCACTGTAGCCTCAACCTTCTGAGCTCAAGCGATCCTCCTTGAGTAGCTGATATTATAGGTGCACACCACCATGCCCGGCTAATATTTATTTTTATTTTCATTTTTGTAGAGACTGGGTCTTGCCATGTTGCCCAGGCTGCAAATTCATTTTCTTTCCTTTCCTTTTTTTTTTTTTTCAAATGCAGAGACAAAGTCTCACTGTTTTCCCCAGGCTGGTCTTGAACTCCTGGGCTCAAGCAATCCTCCTGCCACGGCCTCCCCAAGTGCTGGCATTATAGGAGTGAGCCACTGTGCCCAGCTGCGAATTAATTTCTTTCCAATCAAATAGGTATTCAAATATAACACATACAGTTGATGTGAATACATAGGCAGTAGTACCTTTCTAGTGAGCCGACGTTTAATCTCTCGTTTTTCTGCCTGACGATCAGCTTCATTTTTAGCTATAGTTGACAATCAGAAGGAAAGACTGTTACTCACAAATGACAATTTGCATATCAAGCGTTTTAGTAATTACATTACAGATATTTCTTATAGGCCCAAATTAGAATAAAATACTAACTTTGGGGATGGCTAAACAAGATAATTTTCTTGTCAATGATACAAATACTTAAGAGCAAGAGTCGGCAAACCATGGCACCACATCTCACCAGTTGTCTGTATTTTTACTGCCCATGAGCTAAGAATAGTCTTTACATTTTTATTTATTATTATTATTATTATTGAGACAGAGTCTTACTCTGTTACCAGGCTGGGGTGCAGGGATGTGATCTTGGCTCACCGCAACCTCTGTCTCCTGGATTCAAGCAAGTCTTCTGCCTCAGCCTCCCAAGTAGCTGGGACTACAGGTGCATGCCACCATGCCCAGCTAATTTTTGTATTTTTAGTAGAGATGGGGTTTCACCATGTTGGCCAGGATGGTCTCGATCTCTTGACCTTTTGATCCACCCACCTTGGCCTCCCAAAGTGCTGGGATTACAGGCGTGAGCCACCAAGCCCTGCCAGAGGTAAGAAAGTCTTACGGGATTAAAGCAAAAGGAAGACTGTTGCATTTGGGACTTGCTTTGGGCCTCAGCCCTCAGGTGCTGGGCCTCAGCCCTCAGGTGCTAGGCCTCAGCCCTCAGATGCTAGGAACAGGAAGGTCTCCACATGCACAGCTACCTCTGTAGCTCCCTGAACACAGAAAAACTGGTCACATCTCCCACATACTGTCAAATCCTCCCAAATGCCCAAGGCAGTTTCAGAATATGGGAGAACACTGAAACAAAGTTTTCTAGAGTATCACAGCACACTAAACAATACCATAATAGCATCTTCCAAAGGAAGCTTGGGGAGCTCTTTTCCTTCATGGGAAAGTAAATAGTCCTTGCCTGGCTGGAACACTCTCCCATAGCCCTTGTAGCAAATGCTTCGTTTCTCTTTTATGTATATTAAAGTCAGAAACATACAATGAAATCTATACAACTTTATTTCCATAATTGGACTCACGTTGCAATATATTGCGTTGTTCTAGTTCTTCTGGTGTTGGTCTTTGACTCAGTCGCCTAAAAACGAGAGAAATAAGGATAATGTTTATGTTAAACCACCCAATCTTGTTTATAAAGTGGCCATAGTATATATTAGCCCCTATTCAATTAAGAAATCAACAGATTTTCAAAATGATGTATTTCATTTATGATTGTTTATAAAACAATTTCACATTAAAAGTGTTAACACAGATACTCCATTATAAAAAGGAACTGTATATGCAAACAAGTGGCCAGGATTCTAGTTCTAGACCTTGATAAGAGCTATTAGCCAAAAAAGCTCTGTTAGACCTTGAGTGTCCTCATCTGGGAAGTGAAAGTTTGTACTGAACTGGTGGCTTTCAAACAAATTTGCTTCTTTAGAAGCATTAGAGACTTTAGAAAACACAGACTCCCAAGGAACGTTAACAGAAATTTGGATTCAGAAAATCAGGATGAAAAATATATCTATCTATATGTATTTTTTTTACACAAAATTTCTCCTATGACTCAGAAGTCCCTCTTTAGATTTTTTTTGTTTCAACATTTTAAAAAATACAGATGGTGTATCATTATGTTGTCCAGGATAGTCTTGAACTCCTGGGCTCAAGCTATCTTCCCGCCTTGGCCTCCCAAACTGCTGGGTTTATAGGCACAAGCCATTGTGCTCAGCTAGGTTTTTAAATCAGCGATTTAGGAACCACTGGAATTTAAGTTCGTCTTTTTCTGGTGATATTCTTCATTCTGTGATTTAAGTTTCAGTCTTCTCTGTGAAGTATTTGATAAAGTTATCTCACCTGATCACAATTCTGAGCTGTTAATTCACCAATAACAATTTGTCTGCCAGGTGCAGTGGCTCACGCCTGTAATCCCAGCACTTTGGGAGGCTAAAGCTGGTGGATCACCTGTGATCAGGAATTCGAAACCAGCCTGGCCAACATGGTGAAACCCCTTCTCTATTAAAAAATATAATAATTAGTCGGGTGTGGTGGCTTGCTACTATAGTCTCAGCTACTTGGGAAGCTGAGGCAGGAGAATGCTTAAACCTGGGAGATGAAGATTGCAGTGAGCTGAAGCTTGTGCTACTACACTCCAGCCTGGGCAACAGAGTGAGACTCCATCTCAAAAAACAACAAAAAACCATAATTTGTCATTTCTGGAATCAGAAAGTTATTCATTTCCTACTTTTAATTTATACTCCTAAGATAGTATTTACTAATTAGCTAGTACTTGCTAAGTTTTCAACTCTTTTGTTGCTTGCATAAACTTCCAGTCCCATTCTATGTACAACTTTTCTTCTTTCTGAACAAGACCTTCCGTTTTTTTTTGAGTCAGGGTCTCACTCTGTCACCCAGGCTAGAATGAAGTGGTGCAATCACAGCTCACTGCAGCTCTACCTCCTGGGCTCAAATGATCCTCCCACCTCAAGGACCTTCCATTTTATTTTTTAAAAAAATATTTATTTATTTTGAGACTGGGCTGGCTAATTTTTGTACTTTTGGTAGAGATGGGGTTTTGCCATATTGCCCAGGCTGGTCTCAAATTCCTGGGCTCAAGTGATCTATCTACTCAGCTCAGCCTCACAAAGGGTTGGGATTAGAGGTTGTGAGCCACCATTCCCAGCTAGACCTTCCTTCCTTTTTTTTATTTTTTTGAGACAGAGTCTCAGTCTGTCACCCAGGCTGAGTGTACTGACACCATCTCGGCTCACTGCAACCTCCGCCTCCTGGGTTCAAGCAATTCTCCTGCCTCAGCCTCCTGAGTAGCTGGGACTACAGGCGTGCTCCACCATGCCCAGCTAATTTTTGTATTTTAGTGGAGACGGGGTTTCAGTACGTTGGCCAGGATAGTCTTGATTTCTTGACCGCGTGATCCACACACCTCAGCCTCCCAAAGTGCTGGGATTACAAGTGGGAGCCACTGCTCCCGGCTGTCAGTCTTTTAAATTGCATAACTTTAGCCATCCTTGTGGACTTGTGGTGGTATCTCATTATGAGTGTCTGTTTTTAAATTTCAATCTTATTTTACAGTGACAACAACTGCTATGGAGCTCTACCTCTGAACAAATTTTTAAGTGTACAATACGGTATTAGCTATTTACTTATTTATATATAGACACACATACACACATACAGAGTCTCGCTCTGTTGCCCAGGCTGGAAGCAATTCTCCTGCCTCAGCCTCCTTACTAGCTGGGATTACAGGTGCCCTCCACCAAGCCTGGCTAATTTTTGTATTCTTAGTAGAGATGGGGTTTCACCATGTTGGTCAGGCTGGTCTCGAACTCCTGATCTTGTGATCCATCTGCCTCAGCCTCCCAAAGTGCTGGGATACAAGTGTGAGCCACTGCACTGGATCTACAGTATTAACTATAAACATGATGTTGTACAGCAGATCTCTAGAACTTATTCATCATGCATAACCAAAACTTTATTTATTAGCAACTCCCTATCACCCCAGCTTCCAATCCCCCAGCCCCTGACAACTACGATTCTACTCTCTGCTTCTATGAATGTGACAATTTCAGATACCTCACAGAATTGGAATCGTGCAGTATTTATTGTTCTGTGACTGGTTTATTTTACTCATCCTGGCTAACATGGTGAAACCCTGTCTCTACTAAAATACAAAAAAATTAGCTGGGCATGGTGGCACATATAGTCCCAGCTACTTGGGAGGCTGAAGCAGGGGAATCACTTTAACCCGGAGGCAGAGGTTGCAGTGAGCCGAGATCTTGCCACTGTACTCCCGAGCGAGACACCGTCTCAAAAAAAAAAAAAAAAAAAAAAAAAAAAAAGGAGGCAGGTACATGGAACATATGAAACAGATATAATGCAAATATGGGTGTGACTGTTAATTGGGTTGGCATCTTATGGTTGAGCAACCAGATTAAAAAAGTGACAGAGGAGCCTTTCTGCTCTGGGAACTATTCTGATTTCTATAGAAACTTGCAAAACCATATGTCTATCTCATGGCTGGGTGTGGTGGCTCATGCCTGTAATCCCAGCACGTTGGGAGGCCGAGGTGGGCGGATAACCTGAGGTCGGGAGTTCTAGACCAGCCTGACCAACATGGAGAAACTCCATCTCTACTAAAAATACAGAAATAGCTGGGCGTGGTAGTGCACGCCTGTAATTCCAGCTACTCAGGAGGCTGAGGCAAGAGAATTGCTTGAACCAGGGAGGCGGAGGTTGTGGTGAGCCAAGATTGTGCTATCACACTCCAGCCAAAGAGCGAAACTCTGTCTCAAAAATAAAAATAAAAAAATAAAATAAAATAAAATACAGCTCTCACAGGCAGCTACATCCTAAATTTCCAGATTCTTAGAGGATACCCAACTGTGTTCAATACATATTTTTTTTTTGTTGCTTTTCTTTTTTTTGTGTTGTCAGGCCCAAAGGGCCTCTTCCATCCTTGTCAAGAGGAGTACTAACCTTCTCTCCTTTCATACAAAACCCAATATGTATTTTTAAAATTTATACTCAAAGTGGCCAGGTGCAATGGCTCATGCCTATAATCCCAACACTTTTGGGAGGCTGAGGCGGGCAGATCACAAGGTCAGAAGTTCAAGACCAGGCTGGCCAACATGGTGAAACCCCGTCTCTACTAAAAAAAATACAAAAATAAGTTGGGCGTGGTGGCACACACCTGTAATACCAGCTACTCAGGAGACTGAAGCAGGAGAATCACTTGAACCTGGGAGGCGGAGGTTGCAGTGAACCAGGATCACACCACTGCACTCTAGCCTGGGCGACAGAGCGAGACCCTGTCTTAAAACAAATAAATTTAAAAAATTATATGCAAAGTGATGGGTGTGGTGGCTCACACCTGTAATCCCAGCACTTTCAGAGGCCAAGACGGGAGGAATGTTTGAGGCCATGAGTTCGAGACTGGCCTGGGAAACATAGGGAGACCCCAGTTTCTACAAAAAATTACAAAAATTAGCAGGGCATGATGGCACATGCCTAAGGACCCAGTTACTCAAGAAGCTGAGGCAGGAGAGTGCCTTGAACCCAAGAGCTGGAGGCAGTGGCCATGATTGGAACCACTGTACTCCAGCCTGGATAACAGAGCAAGATCCTCTCTGAAAAAAAAAAATTATACTAAAAAAGATAAATGAATGCTCCATCACAAAGTAAACATCTAGGCTGGGTGTAGTGGCTCATGCCTGTAGTCCCAGTACTTTGGGAGGCCAAGGTAGATGATCACTTGCGGTCAGCAGTTTGAGACCAGCCTAGCCAACATGGAGAAACCCTGTCTCTGCTAAAAATACAAAAATTAGGCTGGCATGGTCACAGGCCCCTGTAAACCCAGCTACTCAGAAGACTGAGGCACAAGAATTGCTTGAACCTGGGAGGCGGAGGTTGCAATGAGCCAAGATTGTGCCACTGCACTCCAGCCTGAGTGACAGGGTAAGACTGTCTCAAAAAAAAAACACCCGCATTTAACAGTATCTAACACAAATACTGGCATACCAAATCAATCAAGCCAATCTACGCAAAGGCCTACCGGATCAGTGTGTTTCCAATCTGGTGCCGTATTTCATTCCACTCTTCCTTGCTTTTACAAGGCCAAGAATTCAGGTTCAACTCTGGTTCACTGGGTCTGTGGTTCAATTTCATTGCCAGTGTGTCTTTCCTCTTCACTTTGTTGGCCAGAGCACCTGTGCACACAGGGAAGAAAAAAATTTAGAACTTGAGGCTTGAAGCTAAAGGTTCAACCTTACCTGGAGCTAGGCAAGAGTCTGAACAAATATAATACTTAACTTCCAGTTCTCACCGGAACTTTGGCCTCAAATGATCCAGCCAAACACTGGGGTGGGGGTAAAGCTAAAGACACTTAAAAATCTTTTTAGCCAGATGGACTCAGATGGTTAAAAGGTATCTTCTCTTTTCTATTAGTCCTCTACATTTTTCTCCTTGGTAAGAGTTGCTACAGTAGAGAGAATCTAAGCATTTAATTCAGCCCTCTGAATTAAAACATGAAAGCTTTCATACTAACACCTCATATTCTGTTTGTTTTTAAGCTGCCTTTCTACTTTAATTAACCAGGACTCAATTATTTGCAAAGACATGTGGGCATGAACATGTTTAATCTTCTCTGCCCTATGGCAGAGAAAGGAAAACCATCATTAGACCAAAGGAAAAATATCACTTTTACCTTTTCACCTTAGCCCATGTGCCACCTTTCCCCTGCTCCACATTTTTAATTTTTTGAGATGGAGTCTCCCTCTGTTGCTCAGGCTGCAGTGCAATGGTATGATCTTGGCTCACTGCAACCTCTGCCTCCTAGGCTCAATCGATTCTCCTGCTTCAGGCTCCCGAGTAGCTGGGGTTATAGGTGCCCACCCCCATGCCTGGCTAATTTTTTGTATTTTTAGAAGAGATGGGGTTTCACCATGCTGGCCGACTGGCCTCAAACTCCTGACCTCAGGTGATCCACTTGCCTTGGCCTCCCAAAGTGCTGGGATTAGAGGCGTGAGCCACTGTGCCCGGCCCTATATTCTTTAATATCATTAAGGTGAATAGTTTTTAAATTGGAGGCAAACAAAAATCTGAATTTAGTAAAGCCATTATGGAAAACAGCCTATTTTCAAAAAACTGAAAATAGGCCAAGTGAGGTGGCTCATGCCTGTAATGCAGCACACTGGGAGGCCAAGGAAGGAGGATTGCTTGAGGCTAGGAGTTTGAGACCAATCTGGGCAACATAGCAAGACTCTGTCTCTATTTAAAAAAGAAAACAAAACAAACAAAATGCCCTTAAAAACAAAACTACCCTTCAAAGTATCAAGTCACCTGCACTCATGAAAAAACAAAAATAGAACTACCATATGATCCAGCAATCTCATTGTTGGGTACATATCCAAAAGAAAGGAAATCAGCAAATCAATCAATTATGTTTATTACAGTACTACTTATAATCCCCAAGATATGGAATCAGACTAAGTGTCTATCAGTGAATGAAGGGATAAGAAAAAGTGGTATATATACAAAATTAAATATTATTCTGCCAAGAAAAAGAAAGAAATCCTGTCATTTGTAACAAAATGGATGGAACTGGAGGACATTAGTTAAGTGAAATAAGCCAGGCACAGAGAGATACATGTTGCATGTTCTCACTCTTATGTGGGAGCTGAAAAAGTTGATTTCGTGGAGGCAGTAAAGAAAATGGTTGTTAGCAGAGGCTGGGAAGGGTAGAGGGGATGCGGGATAGACAGGTTGGTTAACAGGTATAAAAACAGAAGTATACAGAAGGAAATAAGATCTAGGCCAGGAGAGGTGGCTCATGCCTGTAATCAAAGCATTTTGGGAGCTGAGGTAGGCAGATCACTTTGAGCTCAGATCGAGACCAGCCTGGGCAACATGATGAAACCCTGTCTCTACAAAAAAAACATGAAAATGAGCTGGGCATGGTGGCTCAAGCCTGTGTTCCCAGCTACTTGGGGTCTGAAGCTGAAGTGTTCCTTGAGACAGGAAGTGGAGGTTCCAGTGAGCTGAGATTATGCCACTGCACTCCAGACACGCCCCCCCCCCGCCAAAAAAAAGAAATAAGGTCAGTGTTTGGTGGCACTAGGGTGACTACAGTCAACAATAATTTCTTGCATATTTCACATTAACTAGAAAGGTAGATTTGGAATATTCCCAACACAAAGAAATGATAAATGCTTGAGGTGATGGATAGCCTAATTACCCATACACATGCTTATATCAAAATACCTTATGTATCCCATAAATGTGTACTACTATTATGTGTCTATAAAAATTTAAAATAGGCTAGGCATTGTAGCTCATGCCTGTAATCCTAGAACTTTGAATGGTCGAGGCAGGGGGATCACATAAGGTCAGAAGTTCAAGAATAGCCTGGGCAACATAGTGAGACCCTGTCTCTACAAAACAAAAAATCAAAGAAACCTAACCGGATGTGGCACACATCTGTAGTCCTAGCTATTTGGGAGGTTGAGGTGGAAGGATCACCTGAGCCCAGGAGTTCGAGGCTGCAGTGAGCTATGATTGCACTACTGTACTCCAGCTGGGTGACAGAGCAAAACCTTGTCAAAAAAAAAAAAAAAAAAAATCAAAACAAAAAACCTAAAACCTGAGGGACTCAATCTACTTGGATCTCTGTCTTGGCTTGTTTTAACAGAGGGATGGTAGTAGAGATATGGAGTCCTTCACAGTGGCTTCCAGTATCAGTTAGCCAGATGACTTAATGGGAGAAGGTACCTGTTTCCATATTTCTTTTGATACTTGCTAAGATCAGCAAATAGCTTTATCTGGAAAATAATTCTCCCTTTTGCTTTTCCCTCTCTTTCTTACTCTGATGACTCTCATCTTCATCCTCTTCATCTCGGTACTGAACGGGACCTTCTGAATCAGAGTCGCTCTCCTTCTCTTCTTCCTCCTGTAGACACCGTGGTAGTTTAGGAATGACTGAGGTAGATGTCATGTCTTCACTGAATGTGGATGGACAGGTTTGCTCCTCCTCTTCTTCATCGTCTGGACTAACAAATTAACATAATTATATATATATTTTTAGAAACAAAGAGGATAACTGACTTTTAAGACAAAAGACTGAAATAAAGGCTGGGAGTGGTGGCTCATGCCTGTAATCCCAGCACTTTGGGAGGCCGAGGTAGGTGGATTCACCTGAGGTCAGGAGTTTGAGACCAGCCTGACCAACATGGTAAAAGCCCATCTCTACTAAAAATATAAAAATTAGCCAGGCGTGGTGGTGAGCGCCTGTAATCCCAGCTACTTGGGAGGCTGAGGCAGGAGAATCGCTTGAACCCAGGAGGCAGAGGTGAGCCGAGATTGCACCACTGCACTCCAGCCTGGGTGACAAGCGCGAGACTCCATCTCAACAATAACACAAAGACATAGGACTGAAATAACTTATAAAAAAATCCAGGAATGAAGTAACTTCTAATTCTCTCTCTTACCTTTAACAATCTTGCTAAGAAATTTTTTAGCAGGTAAGATTAATCTAAGGGTTCCAATTCTAGCTTTACAACTTACTAGGCACTGGTGCTTTCCAGAATTTGTCTAATGTCATTCTCTCAAGCCTACAGAGTAGATATTATTCCCATATAGAGATGATATAACTAAGAGCAGAAAACTTAAGTAACTTACCACTACTATAAGCTAAGAGTTGTAGTGCTGGAATTTGAACCTAGGGCTATCTCACTCCAAGGTGAATGCTCTTAAGCACTACGTTATACAATGCCTTCCCTGCAGTATATAAAACTAGTAGTTGTAACGTTTCACTTAAATAATTTTGTAAATGTTGCATCATTACAAAAATCTCCATAAAAAAAATGAAGTCACAAGAGTAAAAAGTCCAAATTTGGCCAGGTGCAGTGGCTTACACCCATGATCCTGAATGCTTGAGCCCAGGAGTTCAGGACCAGCCTGGGAAACATGGTGAAACCCTGTTTCTAACAAAAAATACAAAAATTAGCTGAGTGTGATGGCTTGCGCCAGTAGTCACAGTTAGGAGGCTAAGGTGGGAGAATTGCTTGAGCCCAGGAGGTGGAGGTTGCAGTGAGTTAACACTGCACCACTGCACTCCAGCCTGGGTGGGAGTGAGAACCTGTCTCAAGAAAATAAATAAATAAGCTGGGCACGGTGGCTCACGCCTGTAATCCCAGACTTTGGGAGGCCGAGGCAGGCAGATCACGAGGTCAGGAGTTTGAGACCATCCTGGCTCCTAAAAATACAAAAAATTAGCCGAGTGTGGTGGCAGACGCCTGTAGTCCCAGCTACTTAGGAGGCTAAGGCAGGAGAATCACTTGAACCCGGGAGGTAGAAGCTGCAATGAACTGAGATCGCACCATTGCACTCCAGCCAGGGTGATAGTGCGAGACACCATATCAAAAATAAAATAAAGTTTTAAAATAAGATTAAAAAAAAAAAGTCCAAATTCTTTTGGCAGAGTATTCTTTGTACTTTAAATTTATTCACACTGCCAGGCATAGTGGCTCATGCCTGTAATCCCAACACTTTGGGAGGCTGAGGTGGGTGGATCACCTGAGGTCAAGAGTATGAGACCAGCCTGCCCAACATGATGAAACCCCATCTCCACTAAAAATATAAAAATCAGCCAGGTATGGTGGTACTTGCCTATAATCCCAGCTACTTGGAAGGCTGAGGCAAGAGAATCACTTGAACCTTGGCAGCAGAGGTTGTAGTGAGCCGAGATCGTGCCACTTGCATTCCAGACTGGGCAACAGAGGGAGACTCCATCTCAAAAAAAATAAAATACATCCACATTTTCTTTTCTTTTTTTTTTTTGAGACAGTCTCACTCTGTTGCCCAGGCTGGAGTACAGTGGCACATCTTGGCTCATGGCAACCTCTGCCTCCCAGGTTAAAGCAATTCTCCTGCCTCAGCCTCCCAAGTAGCTAGGTTACAGGTATGTGCCGCCACGCCTGGCTAATTTTTGTTTGTTTATTTATTCATGGAGATGGAGTTTTGCTCTTGTTGCCCAGTCTGGAGTGCTATGGTGTGATCTCGGCTCACTGCAACCCCTACCTCCTGGATTCAAGTGATTCTCCTGCCTCAGCCTCCCGAGTAGCTGGGATTATAGACATGTGCCACCATGCCCAGCCAATTTTGTATTTTTAGTAAAGACAGGATTTCTCCATGTTGGTCAGGTTGGTCTCATACTCCTGATCTCAGGTGATCCAGCCACCTCAGCCTCCCAAAGTGTTGGGATTACAGGCGTAGATGGGGTTTCTCCATGTTGGTCAGGCTGGTCTCATACTCTCGACTTCAGGTGATCCACCCACTTCAGCCTCCCAAAGTGTTGGGATTACAGGCATGAGCAACACCTGGCTAATTTTTGTATTTTTATAGAGACGGGGTTTCACTGCATTGGCCAGGCTATTCTTGAACTCCTGACCTCAGGTGATCCATTCATCTTGGCCTCCCAAAGTGCTGGGATTACAGGTGTGGGTCACCATGTGTGACCCACATTTTCTTTTTATAAGTAATTTTTCTAAGCAGGGCTATCTAGAGTAAAGAAGAAACAAGAGGCAAGCTTTAGAGGCACTTACACTTTCAGCATTTCAATAGTGATGGGAAGAGACCTGGTCCGACCCAGTGTACTGCTGTCCTCAGAAAAGCTGTCACTGTTTTCAAAGAGCAACGAATGAGCTCTGTGAGAGCCCTCCAGAGGAGGAGTCATGGGAAGTGGGCTAGTGAGGGCCTGCTGGATTCGAATATGCAGTGGGATTGGAGGCAGCCTGGAGGGTATATGGGGCTCCCCAAAGTTCTGGTCCAATATCCTCTTGGGGACTTCCTTTCTCTGATCTTCCTGCTGGAGAATCTCCTCGGGTAGATCTAAAGATGGTAGAAACTCAATTTCTGATACAACCTGAAAAGTCGCAGCAGGGAATGGAGGGGAGCGTGGAGGCTCTGGAGGTATATGAGTAGGCAATGGTGGGGACGGAGAGCAAGGTGGGATCACTGGCAGCAGTTCAGAGCCCACAGAACTTATGCTTTTCTCTCTTTGATCACTTGTTGTTTTTGTGGTGATGGCAGCAGCAGACTCCAAGGTGGGTACTGAGGTGGATGGAATGCCTCTCTTGGGTGGTAACGGTGGGGACGGTTTTGATAACAATGTACCACTGTTTATTGCTTGGGACAGTTCAGCTGGAAAAGAGAGAGCAACACATCAATTTCATATGACTTTCCAAAGCTTTGAGGGACCAGCCCAGGGCCTAGAATTAATGTTGAGTTCAGTTTTAATCTTTCTAGCAAGTTATATAATTTCATAGTTTGCCATTCCCTATATATTTTTATCCTAAAACAAAATTTATATTTATTCAAATAAATGTATAGAGGTGTAGGAAGACTGATGAGTAGCTAGCTTCATTGCTATGGCAACAGATATGACAATTTTTTTTAATTGAGACAGGGTCTCATTCTCTCATCCAGGCTGGAGTGCAGTGGTGCAATCTTGGCTCACTACAACCTCCGCCTCCTAGGCTCAAGCGATACTCCTGTCTCAGTCATTCAAGTAGCTGAGATTATAGGTGCACACCACTACAGCCTGGCTATTATATTTTTCATAGAGATGGGGTTTCACCATGTTGGCCAGGCTGGTCTTGAACTCCTGACCTCAAATGATCCACCTACCCTGGCCTCCCAAAGTGCTGGGATTACAGGTGTGAGCCACCATTCCCCACTGACAACTTTTTATAACTTGATCTTGCTCTTCCCTTTTGCGGCCATCACCTAAGCGGGAGCTGCCAAAATGAAGTTCAATCCCTTTGTGACTTCCGACCGCAGGAAGAATCGCAAAAGGCATTTCAATACACCTTCCCACCTTGGCAGGAAGATTATGTCCTCCCCTTTTTCCAAGGAGCTGAGACAGAAGTACAATGTGTGATCCATGCCCATCCGAAAGGATGATGAAGTTCAGGTTGTACGAGGACACTATAAAGGTCAGCAAATTGGCAAAGTAGTTCAGGTTTACAGGAATACGTAATCTACATTGAATGGGTGCAGCGGGAAAAGGCTAATGGCACAACTGTCCACGTAGGCATTCACCCCAGCAAGGTGGTTATCACTAGGCTAAAACTGGACAAAGACCGCAAAAAGATCCTTGAATGGAAAGCCAAATCTCGCCAAGTAGGAAAGGAAAAGGGCAAATACAAGGAAGAAACAATTGAGAAGATGCAGGAATAAAGTAATCTTATTTACAAGCTTTGATTAAAGCTTGAAATGAGGAAAAAAAACAACAACAACTTGATCTTGGTGTAGTTAATATGAATAGAGACAAAAAAATCTGATAAAAAGTTATTTTGTGGCCAGGCATGGTGGCTCACGCCTTTAATCTCAACACTTTGGGAGGCTGAGATGGGCATATTACTTGAGGTCAGGAGTTCAAGACCAATCTGGTCAACATGGTGAAACCCTGTCTCTACTACAACGAAAATAAAAAACAACAACAACATAAAAAAAAACAAAATTAGCCAGATGTGGTGGCAGGCGCCTGTAATCCCAGCTACTCAGGAGAGGTTGAGGCAAGAGAATCTCTTGAACCTTGGAGGCAGAGGTTGCAGTTAGCCAAGATGATGCCACTGCACTCCAGCCTGGACAGTGAAAGACTCTGACAAAAAAAAAAAAAAAAAAAAAGTTATTTTGTATAACAGTACTCCATTAAAAAATCTAAACATTCAGATAGCATAAAAAAAAAAAAAATAAAATAAAAAAATAAATAAAAATAAATAGGGCCAGGCGCGGTGGCTCAAGCCTGTAATCCCAGCACTTTGGGAGGCCGAGGCGGGTGGATCATGAGGTCAAGAGATCGAGACCATCCTGGTCAACATCGTGAAACCCCGTCTCTACTAAAAATACAAAGAATTAGCTGAGGCAGGAGAATTGCCTGAACCCAGGAGGCGGAGGTTGCGGTGAGCCGAGATCGCGCCATTACACTCCAGCCTGGGTAACAAGAGTGAAACTCCGTCTCAAAAAAAATAAAATAAAATAAAAAAATAAATAGTAGTGGGTGCTGCTACCATATCCTGATAAATAACAATATCTAGATATCTCAGCTCTGTGTTATAACGATCAATTCTGATATCTTGAATTTTTTTTTTTTAAACAGAGTTTCGCTCTTGTTACCCAGGCTGGAGTGCAATGGTGCGATCTCGGCTCACCGCATCCTCTGCCTCCTGGATTCAGGCAATTCTCCTGCCTCAGCCTTCTGAGTAGCTGGGATTACAGGTATGCGCCACCGTGCCCAGCTAATTTTTTGTATTTTTAGTAGAGACGGGGTTTCATCTTGTTGACCAGGACAGTCTCGATCTCTTGACCTCATGATCCACCCGCCTCGGCCTCCCAAAGTGCTGGAATTACAGGCATGAGCCACCGCGCCCGGCCTGACATCTTGAATTTTTATAGCAATCGCAAAGGCCTTTGAAGAAATCAAAATGTTTTCTGTCCCTGAAGTCATATTCTTTTTATACAACCTGGGGTGACAGGGGAAACATGACAGCATCTTTAGTATTTTCCAGAAGGAAAAAGTGAGGCCACAGAAGTTAGGTGACTTTGGCCAAGATCATACTACAAACCAGCATGGACTCAGCTAGCATCCAGGTCTCTGACTATTTGACAACATCCTACTGTCTCTAATATTTATTAGTATGCACACCTCTTATGTTCCCTTTGCACCTCACCTCACCATATCCACTCTCCACTAAATGATGGGCTCCTTGATGGCAGGGCAACCTTGCCTCCATCAACATATCCACAGAGATGTGCACAGTACCTAGCATCTAGTGGACCCTCAATATGTTTATTAGATGAGAATCCCTCACCCTGTACACGACAGTATATATTCCTATGGTTTCACCAAAGCCCCAATGACTCAGCAAAGTCCTTTTGGAGGGCTCCATATGACCTGTAAGAAGTGGATCATCAGATCATACAGAAACAAAACTTCCAAAATAATCATAGTAGTTATTTTGATCACCAATCTCTAACCTTCGACCCCAACCCTTTATTTTCATCCCACTCAGTGTTCTCAAATGATCTCAAAAACTTCCCTGAAATAAAACTGTATTTGTCCTAAATCCCACTATATTGGACACATTCAAAGTAAAAGGCTAGCTAATTTTATAATTTCTTTTTTCTTTTGAAACAAGGGCTCCCTCTGTTGCCAGGCTGGAGTGCAGTGGTATGAACAATAGCTCACTGCAGCCTTGATCTCCTGGGTTCAAGTGATCCTCCTACCTCAGCCTCCCAAGTTGGTAGGATGACAGGTCCATGCCACCATGCCTAGCTAATATATTTTTTATTTTTAGTAGAGATAAGGTCTCGCTATGTTGCCCAAGCTGGTCTTAAGCTCCTGGGCTCTAGTGATACTTCCACCTCAGCTTCCTAAAGTGCTAGGAAAACGGATGTGAGACACCACACCTGGCCTCTTTTCTTTTTAAATTCATTATTTAGTTAGTTTTTATTTACTTATTTATTTTATTTTATTTTTATTTATTTATTTATTTATTTTTTGAGACAGAGTTTTGCTGTTGTTACCCAGACTGGAGTGCAATGGCACGATCTCGGCTCACCGCAACCTCTGCCTTCTGGGTTCAAGCAATTTTCTTGCCTCGGCCTCCCAAGTAGCTGGGACTACAGGCGTGCACCACCATGCCCAGCTAATTTTTGTATTTTTAGTAGAGACGGGGTTTCACCTTGTTGACCAGGATGGTCTTGAACTCTTGACCTCGTTGATCCACCTGCCTCGGCCTCCCAAAGTGCTGGGATTATAGGCGTTAGCCACCGTGCCCAGCTATTTATTTATTTTTTGAGATGGAGTCTTGCTCTGTCACACAGGCTGGAGTGCAGTGGTGCGATCTCAGCTCACTGCAACCTCTGCCTCCCAGGTTCAAGAGATTCTTCAGCCTCCCAAGTAGCTGGAACTAAAGGTGTGTGCCATCATGCCTGGCTAATATTTATATTTTTAGTAGAGACAGGGTTATACCATGTTGGCCAGGCTGGTCTTGAACTCCTGACCTCAGGTGATCCACCTGCCTTGGCCTCCCTAAGTGCTGGGATTACAGGCATAAGCCACCATGCCCAGCTAATTTATTTTTATTTTTAAATTAAGTTAAATTTATTTATTTTAGACAGAGTCTCACTGTGTTGCTGGAGTACAGTCATGCAGTCACGGCTCACTGCAGTTTTGACTTCCCTGGGCTCAGGTGAACCTCCCACCTCAGCCTCCCAAGTAGCGGGGACCACAGGCATGTGCCACCATGTCTGGCTAATTTTTGGGTGGTCTTTTTTATAGAGACGGGTTTCTCCAGGTTGCCTAGGCTGGTCTCAAACTCCTGGGCTCAAGTAATCTACTTGCCTCGGCCTCCCAAAGTGCTGGTACTAGAGGTGTGAGTCACTGCGCCCAGCCTTTTTTTTTTAGAGACAGAATGTCACTCTGTTACCCTGGAGTGCAGTGGTGCAATTATAACTCACTGGGAGCCTTGAACTCCTGTGCTTATGCAATCCTTTTACCTCAATCTCCCGAGTAGCTAGAATTACAGGCACATGTCACCATACTCAGCTAATTTTTAAAAAAAAACTTGTTTTTGAAATGGAATTTCACTATTGGTGCCCAGGATGGAGTTAAATGGCACAATCTTGGCTCACCGCAACCCCAGCCTCCCAGGTTCAAGTGATTCTCCTGCCTCAGCTTCTTGAGCAGCTGGGATTACACGCATGCACCACCATGCCCGGCTAATTTTTTGCCATGTTGTTCAGGCTGGTCTCAAACTCCCAATCTCAGGTGATCCACCCACCTCAGCCTCCCGAAGTGCTGGGATTATAGGTGTGAGCCATTGTGCCTGGCTAATTTATAAATTTTTTATAGAGATGGGGGTCTTGCTACATTGCTCAGGTTGGTCTTGAACTCCTGGTCTCAAGTAATCTTCCCACCTCCGTCTCCCTAAATGCTGAAATTATAGGAATAAGCCACTGTGCCTGGCCTAATTTTGTAATGTTTTAATGTCACTCATCATAAGTAAATTTTTTTTGTTTTGTTTTTTGAGACAGAGTTTTACTCTGTTGCCTAGGTTGGAGGACAGTGGTGCAATTTTGGCTCACCGCAACCTCCACATCCCAGGTTCAAGTGATTGTCCTGCTTCAGCCTCCCGAGTACCTGGGATTACAGGCATGCACCACCATGCCCAGATAATTTTTTGCATTTTTAGTAGAGATAGGTTTTTGCCATGTTTTCCAGGATGGTCTCCTACTCTGGACCTCAAGCAATCTGCCCACCTCGGCCTCCCAAAGTGCTAGATTACAGGTGTGAGCCACGATGCCTGGCCCCATAACTAAACTTTGAAAAGGGGTTTCTAGAAAAACACTGCATACACACACAAAAAGATTCTAAAAATGTGAAATAGATATGGGTAGAGTGGATTTTTGCTGATTCTCTAAAAATAGTGGTTAGCTATTCTATCTACAACAAAACTTATTCCTAGTGAGAACATAAATGAATGTTTTTATTTTTGAATTAATAAGAAATTACATTTGGTAATTTAAGGAAGGCATATACATTAAGCAAGTAAATTCTGGTACATATACTGTGACAACAGCATCTGGCTGTAGTTCTGTGGAAAAATTCCAGAGTGTTCCTGGGATAGGTAACAATTCCCTTTTACCTGTTTAGCTATTGCTGGTGGTCCTTCCTCAGTCCTAATACTCCATGTTATGCCTATGAGAAGACAGTAGTACTTCTGAAGCAATGGTTTCCAAACTTTTAGATTTCAGTGACCAAAACAATTAAAAAAAACTTGATCAACCTCAGATTTTTTTTTCTAGTTTTTTTTTGAGGTTGTCATTTTCTAAGATTTCCAAATAAGGCTTGATATTAAGTAAAACATTTATGATCATAATCCTTTTGTGAAAGAAATGGCATTTTAACAGCAAAGGATTATGAAAGTTTTCATTTCGGAATAAAGGAGAGTCCTTTAAATCTATTTAGCTCTAACAAATGCTCTGTGAATTTTCCTATTTTTCTTCTTCTGCCGAGGATCCCCCATGGACTAATACTGATTCCTCGGTCATAAGGTCTATTGTTTTGGGCTATTTACCTCAAACCAAGAATGGGCTCTGTAGTTTAGTCCAGGGTATCATACACAAATGATCATTTTACATGTTGCCTTAACTTGAAGAGAGTGGTATGCCACTGGTCTAGAGCAGAGGCTCTCAGTGTGTGCTCCTTGAAGAACAGCAACATCAGTATCATCTGGGGAATCTATTAGAAAGGCAAATTCTCAAGCCCATCTCAGATTTATTAAAATCAGAAACTCTAGGGCTACTACTGTCCAGCAGTCACTAACTACAATCTGTTTTTTTTTTTGAGACAGAGTTTTGCTCTTGTTGCCCAGGCTGGAGTGTGATGGTACAGTCTCTTCTCCCTGCAAACTCTTCCTACTGGGTTCAAGTGATTCTCCTGCCTCAGCCTCCTAAACAGCTGGGATTACAGGTGCCCACCACCACGCCTGGCTAATTTTGTGTGTTTTTAGTGGAGATGGGGTTTCACTCTGTTGACCAGGTTGGTCTCAAACTCCTGACCTCAGATGATCCACCCGCCTCAGCCTCCTAAACAGCTGGGATTACAGGTGCCCACCACCACGCCTGGCTAATTTTGTGTGTTTTTAGTGGAGATGGGGTTTCACTCTGTTGACCAGGTTGGTCTCAAACTCCTGACCTCAGATGATCCACCCGCCTCAGCCTCCTAAACTGCTGGGATTATAGGCATGAGCCACAGCGCCCAGCCTGCAACCTTAAATGAGTCACCATGTCTTCATGCTCTAATTGCCCTACCTGTAGAACAGATAAAATCAGTTTCCTGCAGCACAAGGTAGTTTTGAAAATAAGTATGTAAAAGCTCCCCAAGTTCCTCACAGATAAGTCAACATGACATTATCCATCCAAAGTGGTGATAATAACAACTTCATCCTGTTTTCATCAAGCTACTCCAACCTGTCATACTCATAAAGTATTCTAAGCCTGTTTTTCAAGGTTTGAATCATTCCATCCAACTTGGTGATATTAAATATTTAATAAGTGTACTTTTTATTCATTCAATCCTGAATAAAAACTTTAAGCAGTACTAAGCCTAGTATCATTTTTCCTGAAAAACTATATTTTTATTACCTTTGAAGCACTCATTAGCTTTCCTCTCCCTTTCTTGAAAATTCTTCTAAGAAACTGTGCATTTATATAAAGAAAGTAGACTTAAATAGAACTTTGGGTAAATGCAAAAAATTTACTAAACTCATACAAATTTACTGATTATCTTCCCTGCTTTATCTACCACCACTTATTTTAATATGAGTAACATTCTTAACTCCCCCAAGATAAAACATGATTTTATCAGAACAATTTAAGTAATACCTTCTGCAGTTCCCTATGAAGATAACTATTCAGAAGATAACTAAACTGAATTCCAAGTTTCACCGCCATCTACAGAATCATCCTTTTATCTACTAGACTCATTTATGCTTATGGAGGGAATATGTAGTTTTAAGTGGATTAAAAAATTTTCATTTGAAAAGTCTGCCTTGCCTCTTGTAAGCTAAGACATTACTCTAATTTTTCAGCAAGTGCCACAGATAACTCCATGCAGGAGTCCAACTATATATGAAGACATATATATATATATATATATATATATATATATCTTCTGGATGGATATGGACTGGCTATATGAAGACATATATATATTTATATTTATATATATTTAAGTTTGGGGGGGGTTTAATCCATTTTTCTAAAACAATGATTCCAAAACACTATATATATATATATATATACATATACAGAGTCTCACTCTGCCTTGCCCAGACTGGAGTAGTGTCGTGTTCTTGGCTCACTGCAACTTCTGCCTCCCGGAGGTTGGCCAGGCTGGTCTTTAACTCCTGACCTCAGGTGATCCACCTGCCTCAGCCTCCCAAAGTGCTGGGATTACAGGCGTGAGCCACCATGCCTGGCCTACTTTTTTTAACCTAAGACTTTTCTCTATGTTGAGGTCATTCAAAGGGAGAAGATATGGAAAATTCTCATAGAACAAATCAATATTGTACCAGTTATCCAATAAAATAACCATCCAACATCAAACCAAACCCAAAACACAAGAAGCCTAAAGACTTACTTACCAATGACAGGGTTGCTGTTTCTGTGAGCTGGTTTAGGGGGAGGGATAGGGGGCTGCTTGGCAGGGATCATATGAGTGAGGCTTGGGGTAGCAGTAGTGTTAGTGCTGGTAGGAGCAGCAGGCAGAGTCCTTGGTGCGGGGGAAGGGGTGGCAGAGAGATTAACAGTCTTTGCGAGACTTGTGGCAGCAGTGGTGGCAGCGGGTGCTGTGGTGATGGAGGTGGAGATGATGAACCTTGCCGTGCTGCCAGAGGAAGTGGAATCCTTTGCTTGCCCTTCATTTGCTTCATGAGAAGCAGACAAGGGTCTTTTGGGAGGAAGTAAAGGAGGCTGTTTGGGTACATTCTCAGGAATAGACTCTGCTTCAGAATTAGGCTGGCTTCCAGTTGAGCCTGTGTAATAACATATATAAAAAGGGAAGAGAGAGTAACAAGAGACACTGAAAAAGCTAACACATCTATGAATTTATGGTCAATTCCATCAATTATTTAATTTATAGATTAGATTACAGGTTACAATTCTCAATGCCTCCCAATCTCCCCATACTTAAAAAATGTCAGTAAGAAAGGCTCAGTAAGAGATGCTCATTGTGGTAGTGATTCTTCACACAAGAGCCAGGCTGCTGAAGGAGAGGCACAACAAAATTCCTTGGGTGAAAGAACTGGAATGTGTAGCTGGAAAAAATCCTATAGGTATCTGATACTTAACATCCTCTTCCCTTCTTGAGGATCACAAATTTAGGTATTTTGCGAATAATAGAGGGGCGGGGGAGGAAATTCCCCTAGAAGTTGCTGAAGTATTGCTAAAGGAGAATGTAATTCTCTCTGGATTTTACTTTTCCCTGTTCTCTTGCAAACCCCTTATGTAAAGGAGAATAACGATCCATGGCTCTTAAACTAAAAAATCCAGAGTTTCTTACCTAGTCGTTTCTTTAAGTCCTCTTCTGGAATAGGTTTCCTAAGACTTGCTAATCTTATTGGCTCTTCCTCTACTTGGACTGGACTAGATGAACTGGCACTCCCTATGGGGGTGGTATGGCCATTCTTTAACATGGCATGGCTTGGCTTTCCTGGATCCTCATCACCTGCAAGGTGAAAGAAGAGTACAAAGTGACGAAATTGGCATGAACAGATAGAGAGAAGAGTTAGTAAATTTTTCTTTCTCTCTCTCTTTTTTTAAATTGAGACAGGGTCTTGCTATGTTGCCCATGCTAGTCTTAAACTCCTGGGCTCAAGCAATCTGCCTGCCTTGGCATCCCAAATTGCTAGGATGAATGGCATGAACCACTGTGCCTGGCCAGTGTTGGTGATTTGAGACAAGGTCTCACAGACCAGGCTGGAGTGCAGTGGCATGATCTTGGCTCACTGCAGCCTCTGCCTCCCAGGCTCAAGTGATCCTCCTGCCTCAGCCTCCTAAGTAGCTGGGACCACAGGCATGTGCCTATATTTTTGAGAGAGATGGCGTCTCACTATGTTGCCTAGGCTAGTCTCAAACTCCTGGGTTCAAGCAATCCACCTGCCTTGGCCTCCAAAAGTGCTGAGATTACAGTCGTGAGCCACAGCGCATGGCCCAGAGTTGGTGATTTCTAACCTTCCTTACCTTCTTTCCCCTGTCTTCCTGTTTTAGTTTATTATTGCGATCTAGATTACCTGGATGCTTAAACACAAATAAGTAATTTCTTTTTCCAATACATGTTTGATAGCCTATTATGTGCCAAGTACGTTGTTAAATGAATAAGACAAATAAAGGCCAGGTGCAGTGGCTCATTTCCGTAATCTCAGCACTTTGGGAGGCCAAGCCAGGGAGATCACCTGAGGTCGGGAGTTCGAGACCAGCCTCGTCAACATGATGAAAACCCGTCTCTACTAAAAATACGAAAATTAGCTGGGTATGGTGGCAGGCACCTGTAATCCCAGCTACTTGGGAGGCTGAGGCAGGAGAATCGCTAGAACCCAGGAGGCAGAGGTTGCAGTAAGCTGAAATAGCATCATTGAACTCCAGCCTGGCCAACATGGTGAAAACCCATCTCTAATAAAAATACAAAAATTAGCCGAGTGTGGTGGCAGGTGCCTGTAATTCCAGCTAATTGGGAGGCTGAAGCAGGAGAATTGCTTGAACCCAGGAGGAAGAGGTTGCAGTGAGCTGAGATAACGTCATTGCACTCCAGCCTGGGCAACAGAGCAAAAACTCCATCTCAAAAAAAAAAAAAAAATGGCAAATTGATTATATATAAGTAACTACAATGTTAAATGTCAAGAGCTCTAATGAGTGTAGTGCTGTGGTAGGAATGAAGAAGAAATCATTCTCCTGGGGTGAGAATAGCGTTAGGAAGGCATCACAGAAAGTATCTGAGCTGGAGTTGAGATGGTCTTGCTATGTTACCAGGCTGGCCTTGAACTCCTGGGCTCAAGCAATCCTCCTTCCTCAGCCTCCCTAGTAGATGGGACTATGGCACACACCACCATGCCTTGCTTTGAACTGGATCTTGAAGGAGTAGGAGCCCACCAAACTGAATAATAAAGAGAGTTTGTTTGGAAGAAGGAATAACATGTATAAAGGTGTGAAGTTATTCAACATGTTTGGGGCACTGGCGACTAGTTTGGTCTGGCAGGAGAATAGATTCACGTAAGAAATGGTTATAGGAAGCCGGGCATGGTGGCTCACGCCTGTAATCCCAGCACTTTGGGAGGCTGAGGCAGGTGGATCACTTGAGGTTAGGAGTTTGAGACCAGCCTGGCCAACATGGTGAAACCCCATCTCTACTAAAGACCAAAGTTGTCTGGGCGTGGTGGCAGGTGCCTGTAACCCCAGCTACTTGGGAGGCTGAGCCATGAGAATTGCTTGAATCTGGGAGGCAGAGGTTGCAGCAAGCCAGGATTGCATCACTACACTCAAGCCTGGGCAAAAGAACGAGTCTCTGTCTAAGGAGGGGAAAAAAAAAAAGACGCACAACAAAGTTGAGGATGTACACACAGGAAAGGAATGTTTGCCCCAAGGAAGGAAGGGTGAACGTTATATTTTTAAAGCCACCCTCCAACCCAAAAACATCAATACAAAAGAAAGAAAATTCAACTACCTAGTCAGACCCAATTAAAGACCAAGTGCACAGAGACAGGCATATGCTATCATTTGTAAACTTACCTTGCTCAGGGTCTTCCAACAGAACCCCTCTTTTAACCAGCTCTTCTCTTGGTTTTCGCATAGATATTTTCCGTTCTAAAACTAACATTAAATTGGAAATTGGCACTCAGAAATGTTACAGTTGAAAGTCAACCTTACACTTAGCATTCTAATTCCACAGGTAAAAGAATAAAGTGTTTAAGTTTATATTCTCAGGAAAGAAAATAACTAGCAGACTAACTTCAAATTAAAATTCTTAAATTTCTTTTATAACCTGTGATATTAGGAAAGCATCATTTTCAAAAAACTAGCCTTAGATAATTATAGCATAATAGAAAATTTCATTAGTAAGAAATTTATGGATGCCCTTTGTGTGGATGGGCAGAGTAGAAAAAAATAAGCATTTTATTTATGTATGTATTAATTCACTCAGTCATTTTCTTCACCAAGTCCTGATGGAAATAAGCATATTAGATTTGTTATAGTTCAGTAACTCCATTCACCACTTAATAGATACTTCTACCCCATCAAAACACAAACCAGGGAATGAGAGTATACAATATAAGGTTTAGGAAATGGTCATTTTGATATTTAATTCTAAAAGATTAAATTCTGGCCAGATACAGTGGCTCATGCTTATAATCCCAGCACTTTGGGAGGCTGAGGTGGGAGGATCGCTTGAGCCCAGGTGTTCAAGACCAGCCTAGAAAACATGGGGATACCCCATCTCTACAAAAAATTTAAAAATTAAATAGGCACAACAGCTCATGCTTGTAGTTCCAGCTACTCAGCAGGCTGAGGACTGCAAGAGCCCAGGATGTTGAATCTGCAGTAAGCTGTGATTGTGCCACTGAATCTGCAGTAAGCTGTGATTGTGCCACTGTACTCCAGCTGGGCAACAGAGTGAGATACTGTCTTACCAACAAAAAAAAAAAAGAAGAAATAAATAAAAGATTAAACACCCTTTTCAAATAGAGGAATACAGAAACTTGGGAAGATAAGGAAAAATTAGATACTTCTAACATAAAGAACTCTAACTAAGAACACACATTTAAACCCTAATATCTCACCTTCTGAAGTCTCTTTAAATTTATCACTACTTTTTTTTTTCCTCCATTTCCAGGGTTTGAAGATCTTGCCAAAGCCTGAGAACTTGCTCTTCCTTTTGGTAGGAGGTGTTGTGTCTCCTGCTTCCACACTGTCCATGACCATGCCTGGCTCTGTAGCGGGCTGGTCTGCTTCCTCTGTTACATGAAGAAAAGAGAGGGAAGGGAGCAAATTTATTATTTCAGCATAATCTCTAAAATGTCCCTTCCCTTCTCTTCCTGTGGCAGTTGGAAAGGATGGGAGCAATGATAAACAATCATGCAGACAGGGAGACTCTTGGACATCATATGGACACCAAACATCAAAATCCGTAACAGATAAATTACTAAGGAGGAAAAGGAACCAAACCAAGCTGACATAATTTTAGGACAAAATCTGGTGAAATGATCAGAGCCAGCTCAAAATCTTTTAAAGGCACATGTATATAAAATGTGGATTATCTTACCAAATGCATGAGATCTTGCCTTACTGAAGCAGGGAATTCCACTATCAGTGAGTGAGTCATTTTCTCTATTAAACGTTGCCCTTTCCCTGCCCTTTTCAGGATATAAATAGTTCAAGGAGAGGTAACACATTAATTGTTAATACCTTACTTATGTCTGTTCATCACATTATTTTCTCCCTTCACAAAAAGGATCCTAGGTACTGGAAGGTGCTCAGGGTGGGGGGCAGAAGCATTAGAAAGAGGGTGCATTAAATTGGAGGGAAATGTTTTCAGAAAGTAGAGGTGAGATTCCAATTTGTCTACCATAGCAGTGCTTTAGAGACAATCACAGGCTGGGCACAGTGGCTCATTCCTGTAATCCCAGCACTCTGGGAGGCTGGGGCAGGTAGACTGCTTGAGCTCAGGAACTTGAAACCAGCCTGGGCAGTAAGGTGAAACCCTGACTCTACAAAAAATGCAAAAACAAAAATTAGCCGGGCATTGTGGTATGTAGTCCCAACTACTCAGGAGGCTGAGATGGGAGAATGGCTTGAGCGCGGGAGGTCAACACTGCAGTGGGCCATAACTATGCCACTGCACTCCAGCATGGTCAATAGAGTGAGAGCCTGTCTCAAAAAAAAAAAAAAAAGAAAAAGAAAAAAATTGTAATATTAAGGATTTGACACAAAACATAACTGACATAATACACGTGCAGAATTGAAATAAAAGGTCATGAATCCCTCATAATGACCACACATGCAGGGTTTAGTTAGTTAGCTTTAATGGCAGAGAAAGGAGAGCCAAGGAGGGGCCAAGAATTAAAAAAAAAAAACAACAACAGAAAAACAGCAGGAAGGCAACAACAAAAAAAAAGCAGGAAGGTAATACAATGCAGCTGTGCACTCCACCTACTGTTCCAAGGTTCTCTGGAGAAGTCTAGAGAGGAAGAAAAAAAGAGTCATGTGGAATAACCATCCTGAAATTAAAGTGGAACCCCTGCTTTGTAGAAATACATCAAGGAACAGCATATGACAAGTTAAAATGTTGACTGTAAACAATTTCAGATCTGAAGCAAATAACACTTTTGGAGGAGGGTGAAAAGGTCATCATAGACACTACAAAGTATTTATTTATTTATTAGAAACAGGCCATAAATAATTAAATAAATATTTATTAGAAAACAGGCCACTTCTGTTGCCCAGGCTGAAGTGCAGTGGTGTAATCATAGCTCACTGCAGCCTCAAATTTCTGGTCTCAAATGACCCTCCTGCCTCAGCCTCCTGAGTAGCCAGGACTACAGGTATGTACCATCATGCCTGACTAATTACAATTTTTTTTTTTGTAGAGATAGGATCTCACTAAATTGCTCAGGGTGGTTTCAAATGTCTGGTCTCAAGAGATCCTCCCTGCTTGGCCTCCCAAAGCACTGGGATTAAAGGTGTGTACCACCACACCTGGCCTCTCTTTTAAAACTAGGTATTTTCAAAAGAGAAAATATTCAACCAACAGCATTACGTTATTTATTTATTGAGACGGAGTCTTCCTCCTATCGCTGAGGCTGGAGTGCAATGGCATGATCTCCACCTCCTGGGTCCAAGGGATTCTCCTGCCTCAGCCTCCTAAGTAGCTGGGAGGCTGAGGCAGGAGAATCCCTTGAACCCAGGAGGTGGAGATCGTGCCACCATGCCCAGCTAATTTTTGTATTTTTAGTAGAGACGAGGTTTCATCATGTTGGTCAGGCTGGTCTCGAACTCCTGACCTTGTGATTCGACCGCCTTGGCCTCCCAAAGTGCTGGGATTACAGGTGTGAGCCACTGCGCCTGGCCGCATTAAATTTTTTAAAGAAACAACTGCAAAATTCAATCTTTTTTTAGTTGATTGATGGAAGTATAGGGAAGTTTTTCAATAAACGTTAGAATTGTACAATCGTAATTATCACAGTAAATGCAATGATGACTACTGATGCATTCATTTGCTATGCCCAGAAGACTCAGGCAAAGTAGTGTCCTCATTACTAAAGTGTAAAAGATTGAAATGACAAGAGGACAGTGACTCTTCCTAGTTGCATGATTTATTCAAGGACATTCTGGGTCTCAATTACTTTAAGACTTTAATATGAAATGCACTAAAATCTGATAATTCTATCTATCTATCTATCTATTTTAGAGACAGGGTTTTGCTCTGTTGCCAAGTGTGGAGTGCAGTGGCACAATCAGAGCTCACTGCAGCCTTCAACTCCAGGACTCAAGCAATCCTCTTCCATAGCCTCCTGAGTAGCTGAGATTACAGGCAAATAGTTGAAATTATAAGAGAGTGTCTCAGATTACAGGCACTGGCTACGGCACCTGGCTCCTCTTCATTTTTAAGTAAAGAAAGACCAGCTGGGGAATATGAAGAAAACCTGTCTCTTAAAAAAAAAAAAAATTAGTTGGGCGTGGTGGGATGTGCCTACAGTCCCAGCTACAAGATTGCTTGAGCTCAGGAGGTCCAGGCTTCATTAAGCTACTGGACTGTGCCACTGCACTGGGTGACAGAGCCATACTGCTATAGTTTAGATATGTGTCCCTGCTCAAATCTCAGGTTGAATTGTAATTTTCAGTACTGGAAGTGGTTGGAGGTGATTTGATCATGGGAATGGGTTTCTCATGAATGGTTTAGCACCATTCATTTGGTGCTGCCTTAGCAATAGTGAGTGAGTTCTCATGAGATCTGGTCCTTTAAAAGTATGTCGCGGCTGGGCGTGGTGGCTCACACCTATAATCCAAGCACTTTGGAGGCCAAGGTGGGTGGATCACCTGAGGTCAGCAGTTCAAGACCAGCCCGACCAACATGGTGAAACCTCGTCTTAAAAAAAAAATATGTCGCATCTCCCTCTTGGTCTGCTCTGGTCATGTGACATGCTTGTTCTTGGTTGGTCTTCTGTCATGATTGTAAGTTTCCTGAGCCCTCCTCAGAAGCAGGGTAGATCAAGCAACATGCTTCCTGTACAGCCAACAGAACTGCAAGCCAAATAAAGCTCTTTTTTATTTTATTTTATTTTAAGAGACCAAGTCTCGCTTTGTTGCCCAGGCTGGGGTACAGTGGCTATTCACAGGCGCAATCCCACTACCGATCAGCACGGAAGTTTTGACCTGCTCCGTTTCTGACCTGGGCTGGTTCACCCCTCCTTAGGCAACCTGGTGGTCCCCCGCTCCCGGGAAGTCACCATATTGATGCTGAACTTAGTGCGGACACCTGATGGGTATAGTGCACTACAGCCCAGAACTCCTGAGCTCAAGTGATTCTCCAGCCTCAGCCTCTCGAGTAGCTGGGACTACAGTCACGTGCCAACGCACCTGGCAGCTCTTTTCTCTATAAATTACCCAGTCTTAGGTATTTCTTTCTTTCTTTCTTCTTTTTTTTTTTTTTTTTTGAGATGAGCCTTACTTTGTTGCCCAGGCTAAAGTACAGTGGCGGGATCTTGGCTCACTGCAACCTCTGCCTCCTGGGTTCAAGCAGTTCTCTAACTTAGCCTCCTGAGTAGCTGGGATTATAGGCGCCCACCACCGCACCTGGCTAATTTTTGTGTTTTTAGTAGAGATGGGGTTTCACCATCTTGGCCAGGCTGGTCTTGAACTCCTGACATTGTGATCCATCCGCCTCAGGCTCCTAAAGTGCTGGGATTACAGGCATGAGCCACTGTGTCTGGCCTCAGGTATTTCTTTACAGCAGTGCAAGAATGGCTTAATATAGGGACCTTGTTTCAAAAAAAAAAAAGTGGTTGATACATAAACAGAATATGTATAGAAAAAAAATAAAGCCACTGAATACAAAAAACAAAGACATTTTCTTTGCTTCTTATGCAAATATGCTTGATTTTCATGTTTACAAAACTTTTAGAAGAGGATGTCTTTCCTCTTGCCTCCAAGGTTGGAGTTGAGCCACATCGGGCCCTGCCTCAGTTATCTCAAATTTACACATTAATATTTATATCCTCATATTCTCCCTCCTTTCTTCCCCCTCTTCTCCTTACTCTCCAGGACAAACAGTACATTATTTCCAAGACTTCGAAATATGTCCAAATACTTGGAATCCGCCCAGTTGCCTTTTCAAAATACAGAATCTCCAGGAGGTAGGACTTGAGAATCTGTCTTAAAAAAAATCTCTCCAGGTCAGCCTAGGGTCCTAAGGTCAGCCAGGTGTGTTAAACCCAATATGAGATTATTATCTGGAAACCTCATGGAAGTTAAAAGAGACAGAGGCAGATATTCTCTGGCTATAGGCTGCTTCTTTGTTTAAGAAAAATTAACTAGGAGCCAGGCATGGTGACTCATTCCTGTAAGCTCAGCACTTTGGGAGGTTGAGGCAGATCACCTGAGGTCAGGAGTTTGAGACCAGCCTGGCAAACATGGTGAAACCTCGTCTCTACTAAAAATACAAAAACTAGCTGGGTGTGGTGGTGCACACCTATAATCCCAGCTACTCATGAGGGTGAGGCAGGAGAATCTTGAACCTGGGAGGTGGAGGTTGCAGTTAGCCAAGATCACATCATTGCACTCCAGCCTGGGTGACAGCAAAACTCCATCTCAAAAAAACAAAAAGAGGCTGGGCGTGGTGGCTCACACCTGTAATCCCAGCACTGTGGGAGGCAGAGGCAGGCGGATCACCTGAGGTCAGGAGTTCAAAACCAGCCTGGCCAATATGGTGAAACCCTGTCTCTATTAAAAATATTAA